TTAGAAATGATGTATATGTCCATAAATAAATTATGGAATACTCATATGATAGAATATTTTGTATTAAAAAACAATACTTTTTGAAATCTTTTTAATGACATGATATAGTGGATTTCTGATGTTTTGAGCCACATGGCATCATTCCCTCTTCCTAAGGGCAGCCTGATCTTTACTTCTTCCCACTGTGTACAATTTTGGCAGGATGGTAAATTGAGGTGCCCACCCTCCACTACACTAGCTGAAGAGTTCTGGAAGGCTTCTTTTGAGAGACACTATTCCCACCTGATACAGTCAAGGACTGGGCACATAACCTTGAGCACATCTAACAGGGACTCTCCTATGACTTTAAATCTTGAGCAGAATCCTGTAGAGGGACAAAATCCACTGATTCCATTAGTGGTGCCCAACACTCTCAATTTTGCTGTGAATCTAAAACGGGCCATATGAGGTGAGAAAAACTCCAGTGGAATATGTTGGTTCTTTCCTACTTCAAGTCATCAGCCTCCTCACTGATCCTGTCCTGGGAGCTCCCAAAGAGCCTGCCAATAAACTTTTGTTTTGTTAAATCACCCAAAGTCTGTTTCTCCAGCTTGCAACCAGAGAACCCTAATTGATATACACGGGGAAATGCTTTACATTCTGAAACAAACACACCAAAAACCCCAGGATATGAAACTCTATAATACCAGTTATATAAACAAAAAATTTATTTGTAAATGCTTATTTGTATATAAACAGAGAAAACACAATGAGGAAGACACAACTAATTCTGAGAAACACTGTTTCTGATAAAATTTAACCCAAACTTCTTTGCATAGTATGAGATTCCCCAACTACATAGGCTTCTACTCGTCTCTCATCTTTTATACCAGCTATGTCAGAACTAACTTGAAGTTCTCCACATGCTGATTTACATATGAGGACCTCTGGCCATGCTTTTTGTGTCCAAAAGTCTCTTATTACCCTCCTGTTTCATTTTGCCTAGCAAACTCCTACTCTAAACATAAATTATGCAATTAAAAAACAAAACAAAATTAAAATTAACTATAAAGAGAAAAGAAGTTCCCTGATTATTAGCATTACAATTCCAAAATCTGTTTCAGTGTCTAAACCCCACTTAGGCAATTCTAACCAATTACACTTTTCAAATTGTAGATTAATAAAATTTCTTTTAATTACAAATGTACATTTCTACAAATAGAATCTACCTTTCAAAACTAATCTAATGAGAACTCAAAATATAAAATTATAAACCTAATTTACTCAAAATTTTGAGAAATGTTTATGAATGAGGCCATTAATTATATCATATAATAATCACCCATTAGAGCTACAGCATTCTCCTGAAATAGTACAATTCTAATTTTCAAATACTTGAGATTATCTGCAGTTACTCCAAGGTGTGCCACAAAACACTCAAAATCAGTTTATTTTAATTTTTAAATGTGTGTATGTGCATAATACCACACTTGATGTGAAAATGTAGAACTTGGAAGCAAATAAGCAAACATGAAACATGTCAACTCAAAAAGGTTGTAAATCAACATCTTAAGCAATGATCCAACAATCCTTTGGGGAGAAACAACTACTCTAGGCAGCCTTGCTTGGAGTTTATACGGAAGTCATGCAGCTATTGAGAGGCAGAGCCAGGATTCTCACCCAGACTGCCTAGCTCAAGTCAGGCACTCAGGCACTCAAGTACTCTTACCACTATGCTAAGCCGACTCCTTGATCATCTCAAAGCTTTGGTTGAACACTGTGCTCAGGACATTTAATTAAACATGAGCCATGACAATACTATACCATTCAAAGCAATGCCATTTTTCTTATCAACTGTAGTGACATTTTTGTGGTGAAATTTTTTTCCTTTGGTACCAACCAGAAGAAAGGCCTACATTACATGGTTTAACATAAAGGTTTGCAAAAAAAAGTTTGAGAACATTCTTCAGCATAATAGTTCAAAAAAAACAAAAACACAGTGCAACTTCTCAGATATGTGCTAGGAACATTACTGCCCTGAGGGGAAGCATGAGAAAAAAAAAATTCTTTTTTTTTTTTTAAGACTTTATTTGACAGAGAGAGACATAGCGAGAGAAGGAACACAAGCAAGGGGAGTGAGAGAGGGAGAAGCAGGCTTCCCGCTGAGCAGGGAGCCGGATCAGGGCTCGATCCCAGGACCCTGAGATCATGACCTGAGCCAAAAGCAGACCCTTAACGACTGAGCCACCCAGGCGCCCCGAGAAAAAAAATTCTTAAAAAGCGTACCTATTAGATAATCTAACACAGCTTATGGAAGAAAGAAAAACCATAGCAAATTCAGGGCGCATAATTTCAAGCATAACTTTAACAAGAGATAGGGCGCCTAGGTGGCTCAGCTGGTTAAGCATCTGCCTTCAGCTCAGGTCATGATCTCTAGGTCCTGTGATTTGGCCCACACCAGGCTTCCTGCTCAGCAGGGAGTCTGCTTCTCTCTCTCTCCTTCCCCCCCTCTGCCCCTCCTCACCGCTCATTCTCTCTGTCTCTCTCAAATAACCAGAATCTTAAAAAAAAAAAAAAAAAAAAAAATTTAACAAGAGAAAAATAGGCAACAAGGAGAGAAAAATATAGAAATGTCTTTGTAGGTTACATGGAAATATATTACCTCTACCTGCAATCACTCTCTGTAGTAAGGCTCAGAAAACTATGGCCAAAGAGCCAAATCCAATCCACTGTCTGGTTTTGTAAACAGGATGTTTTTGGAACTCAGCTCCACTCATTCATTTACTTATTGTCACACTTTCACACTATCATGGCCGTGCTGAGTAGCTGCACCAGAGACTGTACACAAAATCTAAAATATTTACCATCTACCTTCTTACAGAAAAAGTCTGCAGACGCTTTTCTTTTATAGCACTTAATACTATCTAAAATTGTTTTTTTAATCAATTACTGTCTGACTTCCCCATTGAATGCACTCTTCATGAATAAAACGACTTTGTTTTCCAATATATTTCTAGCATCTAGAACACTACATGGCACATAGAAAGCACTCTACAGGTGCTGAATGAATGGCATTTATTGATAGAAAGAAAGGAAAACAAACACTTCCCATCTTCCCATTCTTCCTAAGATGCACTTCAACTATTCACTCCACCATTTACCAAAATGTGACTTGTCAATTAACCAATGGATTTATCATATTGAGAAACAAGTTAATAAATCCAATGGCTAATTCTCACTTCTTACCTTATTTGACCCAGTTGATCTTTACCCTTCTCCATGCGACTTTCAGAACACCACATTCTCTTAGTTTTCCTCCTACCCAATAGGCCTTCCTTAGTCTCCTTTGCAGGTGCTATCTCACTTCTGAAATCTCTTAATGTTGGCATGCTCACTCACTCTTCCAGACTTTTCTCAGTCCACGCTTACCTAGTCTCATGACTACTCTTAGGCATTTCAAACTGAACTAATCCAAAACTAATCTCTCTCCCAGACCTGCTCAGTTATAGTCTTCATTATCTCAGTAAATGTAAATGTCTCCAGTTGCTCAAGCCAAAAACTCTTGGGGAGTCAACCAACCCTCAATCTATTATACCCCATATCCAGCCCACCATCAAATCCTGGCGACTCTATCTTATAACTATATTCCAGGTTAATGATCATTTCTAACCACCTCCACACTACTATCCTAGTCCAAGCCACCATCATCTCTTGCCTGAGATGACGTTAACAGCCCCCTGACAATTTCCCTGCTTCCACCTTTACTCCCTTACAGTTTACGCTCATCAGAGCAGCCAGGGTGATCATGTTTAAAATGTAAAAATCAGCAAGTTGCTGGATGCTCAAGACCTCCAAAAGTTAGCTAGCCTTCTTTCCTACTCAGAATTAAAGTCTGATATAGTTTGGTCCCCTGAAGCCTTTCTGCCTCTTTATTCCCTCCACTCCAGACACATAGGCTCCCATGACCATCCTAGATCATGTCAAGCAAGCTTCCATTTCACCACCTTCGTACTGGCCGAAAGGCTGTTCTGGTTTAACTAAATGAACCAAGACTCCTCAATCAGGCACTTCCATGAAGTACTTTGTCAATTAACTCTAAAAACAAGTCTGTGAAGTAGGTTTCAACATTCCTACTTTATAGGTTAGGAAATGGACTTTACAGGCCATCTATCTAACAAATGATAGAGTTGGGGTTCATCCCTGATTAGCGAGCACAGAAGAGCTCTCAGTGAAGTTTTGCTGGCTAAAAGGAGATGACTCTGATATGCCTCTGAAGTCACAGTGATTCCAACTGCTAAAGGTGCATCTTGACAGCTGGAGAGGGTATGAGAAAGGGCAGTCAGAGTTAAGGGGACAACCAGAGGAGGAAGTGACCCAAGCCAAGAGTGGAAAATGTCCAGGAAAAGGGAGTGGTGTCAAATGGAACTGAGACATCCACTAACCCAAGACCCACGCACATACCTCACAGTAAACCATACCTGTGGTAGACAGCAACTCTCATCTTGATTAAAAAAAAAAAAAAAAGATGTATCTTCTGCCAATACTGGCCAGAGATACCCTAAGTACCGCCGCTTGTCTGCAGCAAGAGTATGAAAATTGGCTATAGGGAAGCGCGTGACTAAGTAACACAGCTTCTCACCTACGTTTTCCTCCGGCCCAGTGAAACAAAGTTTGTGTCTGTGGTGGCCTTTAAGGGAGGTGATTGGTCTTTAAATTTCGGAAGGCAAAGAAAACGGCAATTATTTTCTTCCAGGCTCTCTGTGGGTATGTGGGATCGTCGCTGTCTGTATCCCAGATATTTTCTAAGAGCTCAAAACAGGGGCGAAGGGTGTGCTGGCCCTCACCCCAAATTGTTCCAGCACCTTCTCGCCTACGTCTCATTCCTCCCTGTCCCACAGTCACGACTGCAGATACCAACCCACCGTCTCCCTCTCATCCCCATCCCCCAGCCATATCCCGGGACTGGACCCACAGAAGCCCCACACCCCGCAGTGGCCCCGGGCGTGAAGACCCCGCCTCACCACGGCTCCGGCCACAGCGTGCACCAGGCTTTCGTAGGACAGCACGGAGGCCATCGCTGCGGCTCCCCACAGACCTAGCAACACTTTTCCCTCAGGTCGCAGCTGGCGGAAAGAAGCGCCAGAGCCCGGGGCGTGAGCGTCACAGACCCCACCTTCCCAGGCCCGCCTCCTCCAGAACAACCACTTCCGGGTCGTTCGGCACCCGGTCCCCCAGGTAGAGGCCGCAGGGGCTGGAAGAGGAGAAAGGCGGGCCTGGGAAAGTCCCTTGGCTCTGATTGGCCCTCGGGGCATGCGTGGGCGGGGCAGAGAAGCGCTGGCCCAACCACGCGGAATAGCCTGACAGAAAGCACGTAGCCGCCCCTGGGTCTGACCGGAGTACCCTCTCGAGTTCGGGGACCTGGCGGGTTGTGCTTTAACATTGGCGTTTGGGAAGGCCTAGACGGCCACCTTCCCTCCGTAAGACAGGCTGGTAACCGGCAAGATGGGGACTCAAATCTTCCTATTTCCTTGCAAGTTAACTCCTATTTTCTCTGGACAGTATTTTTAAAGTCACATTTTATCCGAAAGGAAACGTCGATTGGGCAAGTGTCTCCCGTCTTGAAAACCCCCGCGTGTGGTAGAAAAACAAAATGGAACTTGAGATCAAAGTGATCCAATGCAGCCATATCCCGGGACTGGACCCACAGAAGTCCCACACCCCGCAGTATACTTGTTAGCAACTAGGAAAGTAATTTAACCCCTTTGGTTTTTCTCCCCCCCACCCCCTTTTAAGGTTTACTTATTTGAGAGAGAGAGCACGAGCGGGAGGTGCAGAGGGAGAGGGAGAATCTCAAGCCAACTCTGCTGAGCACAGAGCCCCCTGGGGCTGGGGCTCCATCTCACCACCCTACACTAAAAGTTGGTCGCCCAACCTACTGTGCCACCCAGGCGCCCAGGTTTTGTTAAGTGACAGTGTTAATACAATTCCACTGCTGTAAGGATTACAAAAGCTAATTTATGTGGACGTACTTTGTTTAAAAAAAAAAATCTTCACATGTTCTAAAGTGAAGAACCAACTACAAAGAACTGGAGAAACCACTTTCAACCTCTAGCCTAGATCATACTGTGAGACACAAGGTCTCAGGACTCCCAACTTCACTCTACTGGAGTGCCATTGCCATAGGTCCCTTCCAGTTTCCACTTAAAATACAACCTGTGATAATCCCTGAGTGCTTACTACATGCCTGGCTCCGTGCTTTATTATGCCCATTATATTTACTGCTCAAGAGAGGGCCCTAACAATGTTTACCTGGTCTTTTCACAAAATTTGCGTAAAATATCTTAAAAGATCTTTCCACTTAAATTCCCCTTCATTTAGGGTGGTGCTACAGTGACCATAAGTTAAATGAAAGGTGAGTTGGGAACACCAGATTTAGTGGTATCTACTTATACGTATGGTTGTTACTGCTAGACCTGCTGTAGAAATGGCTTCCAGGAATACTCTCACCAATCCCTAGGACCATGACAGAAAAGCGGAGGTCCAAACATCAAATGAAAATAGTTTGCTGGCACTGAAACAGAGGTCAGTTATACAATTTAAGCAAAAGACTTTTTTTTTTCTTTTAAAGTGAGAGAGATCACAGAGGGAGAGGGAGAAGCAGACTGACTGCTGAGCAGAGCCTGATGCGGGGCTCAGTTCCAGGACCCTGAAATCATGACCTGAGCCAAAGGCAGATGCTTAACCAACTGAGCCACCCAGGTGCCCCCAGGTTTTTTTTTTAAGATTTTATTTAGGGGCGCTGGGTGGCTCAGTCGTTAAGTGTCTGCCTTCGGCTCAGGTCATGATCCCAGGATCCTGGGATCGAGCCCCACATCAGGCTCCTTGCTCAGCAGGGAAGCCCGTTTCTCCCTCTGCCTGCCAGTCCCCCTGCTTGTGTGCTGTAACAATTAAAATCCTTAAAAAATAGTAAAAACTCTCTGTAGTTGTGATTTTGAGAGATTTCCAATTTTTAAAACCTGCAATTTTTGCTTCCTTTGTTCTAACCATTCACTTTTACATCTACTTTAGTATTCATAATTACATATTTTCCTTAAAGAGGGCTCCCTGAGTTAGAGGCATCAAGTCCCCCTCTATAAAATAGTATATAAAAAATTTTGCGTGTTCTTTTACACCCATGCCATCGAACACAAAGTGAGTTAAAAGGAACCTATCCAGAACTTAACATTTCATATATGATGCTTCTACACTGGCAGATTTATGGTCAGGTTACTTAACTGCAACCTGACAATGTCCTAGTGATCTGGGGGAGAGTGAACTACTTAGAGATCTCTTGATTATGTGCCAGATACCAAGATTTTCAGAGTCGCATACATGTGTTTTACACTAGCTCTATTTACCTCCTTTCTACCCTGGCTTTTCCTAATACTTAGAATTAAGTTTAACATTAGGATTCCACCAAAAAAGAATGTCAAAATTCTTATAGACAACTTTATAGAAAATTGTTATACTCCTACCAACACTAAAGGTCTCACAGAATTGCCAAGATATTTAAAACCACCAATTTGATATGCCATAGTTTAAATTTACTCTTATCAAAAGCTTAACAGCTATTTTAATATCTGTTGCCTATTTACTTCAGGGTATTTTCCTCCCCAAACTATGCACTCTTAACAGGTATGCTATAGGTTGTAAATACTAAACTTTAAAATTATTGCACCAAAATTTTAAAAAACTGATTTTTCTTGTCCTCATTATTGGACCTGTCACAAGTGTTCTAAGCACTTCAATTATGCTACATCCCTTACTATTAATCCGCTGGGTGTGCACATCAGTACACCCAATGATGTGTGATATTCCTTAATCAATCCTCTTCGAATGTATTTTGTTTCCAATTTCTTGAAGTCATGAACAATTCTGCAAGAAGCAACCTTGTACAGAGAGGGCAGCAGAACATAAAAGAGGAAGACCAAACAAGCCTAGTGAGAATACCAGCTTTACAAATAATCAGGGGTGTTAACTTGGGCAATTAAGTGCTTCAGTTTCCTCATCTATATAAAAGGGGAAGAGCGCTTACCGTTATGGTCATTATCAGAATGGAGTCAATGCTTTCAAACTGATTTACAGAGTGCTTGGCACAGAATAAGTACTACTTACCTAAGTGGCTACTTGGGTGCATTAATGTTAGATATTACAAATCTCTAAAATACGATTTGTTTCTCCCTTATCCCATTAGGCCAGTATTTCCTAAAGTGGCAGCCTGCTAGTTGTTACCGTATGTCTTTTCTCCCTTTCTTTTGTAGTGTAATCTTTTACTGGGCACATGACCATACAGCAGTGGACTACTCCTTGCAGCTAAATATGGTCTCAAGAGTTAAAAAAAAAAAAAAAAAAAAAGAAAAAAGAAAAAAAAAGACCAGTGGGCTATGAGAAGTAATGAAATGTTAACTATAGGTATCAGCATCAGTATCTCAGTACGTGCTTCCCTTGCGCCCTCTCCTCAAGCTACAAGATGAGCATGAGAGCAAGCACTTTTGGACTCAGAAACGGATGGCAGAATGGCTTACCTCTGGACTGCTACCTGAAAGAAAAGTAAAGCTCTGTTTAACAGTTTAAGTATTCTTAGAAGTCACTGTTAACAGCACTTTATAAAACTGAAGACTACTATGTCCAGGAAATAACTTGAGTGCTAAAGACCTAAAAGAAACAGAACATGTGCTGGGGAAAAAAAAGTGGGGGGATCAATATCCAGTTTGAAACCATACTTTATTTTTAATGTAGCTAGAAATCAAATAACTATATATTTTTAAGCAGAAAAAAACTCCTTTACTTTTCCTTCTTATATCATTGTTAGCACAAGAAAAACCACTTCTGGTTTAGAAATGATACTGAGTTTCTATGAAAATGAATGTACTTTGTATTTGTGGAACTTAAAAGCACAGGACACATTTTCAGAAGACCAATTTTACTTTTACCCACTTATGGTAATATTTGCAATGTTAGAATGTACTTAATATATAATTAAGTAAATCAAATAAGGAACCCAAAAGGAACTGGTCTTCTTGAGTTATTCACAGCACACATTAGAAAATCTGAGAGAGAACACACATTAACAACAACAAAAAAAACCACTGGCAAGCTCAAACGCAAGTTTATATGCTGAGTATTTTTAAAGGGTTTAAAAAGCATGCTGAGTTAGCATACAGCCTCTTCTCACTCATAAAACAGATGCATTTCTATCTGCTTGTGTAAGCAAAGGGTTAGAACCTGAATCAACTTATGACTTCAGAAATGTGCTACTTCAAAAATGTATTCCATGGAATTTTTTTCACTGCTCCTACCACTGATTCTTCAAAATAAGCAAAGTACAGAGGGTCTCATCCCTACCCTTGAAACTGTTTTTAAACACCAGCACTTTAAATTGAAAGACAGGCAGAACCCTAGCAATTCCTGTTACAGTGCCTGGACTTAGTCTTAATTATTAATGTTAAGAGTTGAATGTACAACAGAAAATCTATCATTTCTTTATCCTTGGAGGAGAAGGAGGGAGAAAAAGGAGAGGTGGGGGATATGGTGCAGTATTTAGGAACTAAACAGGAGCACAACTCATCAACCCCGAAATGAAGAACCATGGATCTCATCAATTTTATAATTCACGTTGGATCAAGAAGTTTGGTTCCCCTCTATGTATATCAATGAATTCAAACCTCATACTCTCCAAACTACGAAGATGAATAATGTAAGATAAACTCCAACTGCAACAGTATTTCCCAAGTAGAAAACTGAACACCAAAGGGAATCCCTCCTTCCAACATCTTTTGACATGGTAAGATTTCACCAAAGTAGAAACCTATAATTTAAATATGAAATCGCTTGGCCAAGTAAGAAACTACAGCTGTTATGGGTATTACCTTACATAATCACTATATTACATATTAAACCCAGCATGACATATACTTGCACAATTATGCTGTGAATGATACAGTAGTGATGAAGCCAGTGAAAAAGGACTATCTTTAGCCCAAGAAGGGGGGGGGGGGCAAGTGAAAACAAGTAGAAAGCACACAAAGAGATGGGTATTTTCTGACCAGGAAGGTCACTCTAAACACAGAAATATAAAAAGAAAAGTATTCCCTTAATTCCCCTATGTGGAAATAATGCAAACATTTATTTTCTATATCAGACAAGAACACAGCTAAGTAATCCAATTCTACTGCAGCATTATAAAAATCATCCCTTCACCACAGTGTAAGATTTAAATGCATCTGCACAAGGGTGCACACTATATAAAAGGAGTAAGGTTGCTGCTGCCCTGCCAAGCACTTCCGGTCCCTACCCAGGTCCTACTGCAATACTGGTGGTCCCAATGGTTTTATCCAAATAAACTGTGTTTAAAAAATAAAGCATTTAAGAAGACAAGTCAAAATGCCTCAGAAACCATATCTCCAACTCAAACTTCATCTATTTAAATGTTATATTTGCCTCCCACTAATAAACCTTTATTTCACTCAAACTGAGCAATAAATCTTCCACACTGAAGTATCTTTCTTGCCCAATTAATCCAAAGGAAAAAAAATGAAATGATTAGTAAAGAAAAATGTAGGGACTAACACACCCTTTTAATATGTTTTTAAATATTTTTAAGGTTTAAAAGTGTTTAAAGTTTGTAATTCCTAGTAGGAAAACATTATCTGAATGACTACCCTAATGGCAAACCACTATAGAATGTTTCAGTTGCATGTGGGGCAGAGGGGTAGGGATTCTCTTCACAGCACCCCAGCTTTCTTCATGAGAAGGTCAGAGGTACACTGGTTTGTATTATTGCGACATCCATTAGGTGATCGTTGCTTTTCCTTCAGCAAGGGCTTTATTTGTCAGAAGGGCATTATTATGCTTGACCTCCAAATTTGGATGACAATTTACTGATGAGATTCATAACCTTTGGATTGCTCTGATATTTTGACATATTCGCTGGGTTCTGGGCCACATCCTGGAAGGCCACCATAACTTCTGGATCCTGCAAAGAAAGGTGGTGGGGTTTTTTTAGTATTTAAAAAAGAGTTCTGTGGTTTAACAAGTTTATGAGTCGAAATCCTAGGTGTTTATTTAGACTGATGATTTTGTCACAGCCAAGTTAAATGGGGTCTGGACAAGTCCCTGAGGTATAAATATTACTAACGTGCACTTCAAAGTCAAATGCCAATTATGTCACTTTAACTAGATAATGAAAAAAAGCATACACAATTTTGATAAAAAGGACAACTGAATCACAAAATTCTACTCCTGAAACTAATATTACACTATATGTTAACTAACTAGAATTTAAATAAAAACTTGGAACATAAAAGAAGAAAAGGACAACTGGATATAATCAAACTATTACAGAGTATTTCCTATAAACCAATTTTTAATAACTTAAGCTACTCATTCTGAAAAAAAAATGGTCTAACTGCATCATTAGCTATTTGGTAATTCAGATAAGTAAAACATAGCTAACAAAGTAACCTTTGTCTCTACAAAGAATTAATGAAAGAAATGCCTTAGTGATACAAAGCCCAACTTTGTTCTTCCAAGACTTACCTGCATGGCTGCGAGAACCTCTGGATCACTAAGAATTTCATTGAGCCCAGGCATTCCTGCCATTCCAGGCATCCCCCCTGCCATTCCAGGCATTCCTCCAGGAAAATTACCAGGCATTCCCCCAGGAAAGCCACCTGCAAGAATAAATGAAATAACTGCTTAGACACCAACCATATTCTCAAGTAGTCTGATAGTAGACTATTTCCTTCTGATGAAAATCACACACACACTCACACGTGCATATGCAAAGAACAAGGGGGCTATTAAACACAAAGCAATCTAAACATTCTAACAGGATGTAACAGGACATAATTTTATCTTCAAATTTTTTCTTAAAAAATAAGGCTGTAAATCAACTTTGCTACATTCTGCATTTATTTTTTCCTAATAATAAAACTGTTAAAAAAAGAAAACTAACCTTACCCTTAAAGAGAAAGCTAACAATCCCTTAGAATTACAAAATTAAAAAGTCTAATAAATCATCTTGGTCATATTTTCTCATTCTCTAACATTATTTGTTTCAATTTAAAGTTCTAATTTAGAAACACTTAAAATACATCATAATCAATTCACAGTCTCTTAGAAAAGTACAATGCTCAGACCTCACTAAATGTTAGCTATTATAAAAAAGTATATTGCTCAAAGTGTGAGGAAAATAATATACTATATTTCTACTAACATACAATTTTTAAAGGAGAATGAAAATTTCTAGAGGCTTACATTCTAAAGGCTTTTCGATATTTCCAGGGACTAATAGTACTAAATATAATAGACATATTTGAGCCCCCAAATCAGAATATTCTCCAATTATTTACAATCCTAATAGTTTTAAATTTTCTTTAAAAATACCTGGGAAAGAGCCATACTGAGCTCCTGATTGTCGTCTGGCTTCTTCTTCCTTTAATACAAAGAAATAAATCATATAGTGGTGGTGCTGGTGGGGAGTCTACTGTCCACCCGTACCCTACCCATGCAAAACCATGAAAAAAACTGTAAAATCAGCTAGGTCAGAGGACTTAAGAGAATGACGAGTTTCAAATGGCAATACTGAACTAAAACACACACACCCCAAATCCCCTTTCAAAATTTTCCAGCTAGGTTGTCAATGAGCATTACTTTTGGTAATGATGTCAAGTAGTGTTTTACTTCTACTTGGGGCAGGAAAAAAAACAACACATGGAAAGCAATATACAGTACTGATGTCTGTCTATGCTTATGCAAAGTATAAATTTTATTTTATTTTATTTATTTGAGAGAGAGAGAAACAGCATGAGAGGGGAGAGGGTCAGAGGGCGAAGCAGGCTCCCCGTGCCGAGCTGGGAGCCCAACATGGGACTCAATCCCAGGATCATGACCTGAGGCAAAAGCAGTTGCCCAACCGAGCCACCCAGGCGCCGCGCAAAGTATAAATTCTTAACGATGTTAAAACTCCAAAATGAAAGCACATGGTTAGATTACGAAGACTGCCAATAACTTCTGTTTCCCAAGTTCATCTTTTCCATACTTTCTCTACATAACTTAACAAATACAACCGGGGTTTACCAATTGGTTATTCAGCAAAGAAAGTAAAAGAAAATAAATTTCCCTCATAACCAGTTATAAAGTCATCAAGGATATATAAATGTAAAAATCACTTTTGAATACAGTAACTATAATCCTAAAAACCAAGCATGATGCTTTAAAAGCATTTAATATTAACTTTATTAAATCTTACTAAATTCATTCGACATAATTATAGTTTTATTAATTTTGTTAAGTATTAATATTTAATATTAAATGACAAAGTTACGAAGTAATGCTATACAATTATAATATAGCTTTATGTCCTTTTACTTCAACAATATTGGAAATAACTAAACGAAAACTGATAGCATCAAAATGCAAAAAGCGAATATAGGAAAAAACGAGAAATCTTAGGAACAGCAACAATATTGTAGATGAATTATGAATAACTTTCTAAATTTTATGACTTTGTGACTAAAAATAAAAAATAGCTAGTCTACTTTAAATAGCTATGAATCCACTATTCGAACAAGAGGAATCATAAAACAACAAATCAGGGCAAGCATCCACAAGGAAACAAGTAATACTGACAAGTTCTAATTACCTGACCAAAACAACCTCCCAATTTTAGGAGGACACACACAAGAATATAAACAGGTGATATATAAGCTCGCTTAGGAATTTAAGAAAAAAAAATCCCTACAAATTGGAGATAATGAAGGGAAAGAAACTCTTTTAAGCAGTATCATTACCCTACAGAACAAGGCCAGCATTAAGTAAGAGCCAGGAATTAGAATGATATCCTCAAGCTCTAATCTACTTTATTTCCCTTTAATGGTTTAGCTACAGAAACTTTACCCTCTGGGCTCTCTCATGTTCTTCCCGAGCCTTCTTAACCCTTTCTATTCTTTCTTTGATCTCTCGCTCTTCACGTTTTCGCTCATACTTTCTCCGATGTTCAGCAATTTTCTGGGCCTAGGGGAAAAAAAGCCACAGAAAAAATGTTTTCTTTAAAAGCTGAATAAGGGCAACCCAAATCACCAGTTTTGTTAAAGAATCATTTTTTTGTGTGGAGAGGTGTTAAATTCAACAAACAGTTCTGAATGACAGATTTACCTCATAGAAAAAGACCTTACATAACTCACACTTTAACAAGTCCACTGTGAAATAAAGGAAAGAGGCTGAGAAGTGAAGTTAGAAGTGTTACAAATTTCAAAAAAGTAACTAGTACAAGGATGACAAGTTTTCAAATTGCACAACTCTTGCCTGATACTGGCCAAGGGAAGGGAGAGATTGGGAACGCACACACCAGTTATTTGCCACAGCCTAACCACACTGAAGTTTTCTCATCCATAAAATGAGGGGGGCGGGGAAGAGAAATACTTAAGTCTTATAGAATGCTATAAACATTAAGAGAAAATATATGTTTCAGGCACTAGCACATAGCCTGAGCCAAATATTTGGAATCTATTATTCAGAAAATAGAGTAAATGTAAGAGAGTGATACTCAATTGTTACTTCAGCTTGTTTATCATTATTTTTTAAGAATCTCATGTTCTAGACTCTCTCACCATAACCTTGGAGTTAGCCCTGTTATGAGCGAAAAAAATCAAAAAGTCTCTGACTATAGATAAGTTAAATTCAATAAAATTTCCTTATAACCTTTGGGAATAAATTCTTGGTAACGTAACATCCCACAAAGCTGAGGAATTTACCATGTAAATAATGCATTAAAATTATTTTAACAATTACCTTAAAAAATATTCTGGCTTTTGGAGTCAGTATTATCATTTTTAAAAGGATGAAACTTGCTAACTTCCACAAGGCCCTCATGCTTTATACAGTGGCTGCATATACCTACGATAAACAAGGACAGACCAGGCACAACCTCGGGTCACATTTTATAGATTTTCTATTTCTTTCCTTGCTGTGAACTTGATACCCCCTTTTCCATTTCTAACTTTCTGGTTACAACTCTACTGTTGGCTTACGAACAACAAAGTAACAGAGCTTGCTGTAATGCAGCATGAGAAATAAAGGCATGACAAACTACTGACATTTCCTGACTTGAACACCAACATCAGTAATTACAGATGGGAATATCCAAACGTTTCTTTCTTTGTATCTGTTTTCCAGGTAAATTACTGCCAGGGGCTAAGTACTAGAGCCAAAGAGCATCACAGTGATGACATTCCCTCTCCCTACTTGAACATACCCTCGGTTGAACTTCTTTCAGCATTGCGCTAGCATCTTCATCGTAATCCAGTTTACAAGCAAGGGCAAGATCATGTGCTGCTTCTTCCCAATGGCCCAGAAGTCTGAAACAGATTAAATTCATTTTAGGGGCCTTTTATACATACCCACTAATGTGGTGGTGTCTTTCTTATTAAAAAAAGGGAGTGTTACAGAAGAGGTTTAAAGTTAAATATCTGAACTATAAATTTTCATGAACCAATTCAATTAAGTACGTTCTACTCTATAAAAACATGGGAGTTTAATTTCCTCCTTGGCAACTATAAAGGTGTTTTCTAAAACCTGTTTAAAAACTTTAAAAAATTACTTTTTTAATTCAAAATATAAAATTTCTAAAAATTATGTAGAACTACATACAATTTTCAAGCTCATTCAACAATTTCAACTCCTTAAAAACAGGATTAACATAATGTACACTTAGCATGCTATAAGGTGGAAGAGAAAACAATACATGTGTGCACATTTTATTGAAAGAAGAGAAACGATAAATCAGAAACTAAAGGTTGGTGGAAGAAGGTAAGAATGGAGTAGAAGGGATAGCAATGGAAATTAGACTTCTCTGGGTATACGTGTCAACTCAGTTTTGACTCTCTAAACATGCAAACGTTCTACATACGTAAAGAAGAAAATTAAACCAGAAAAGACAGAAATAAAGCAATCCCTAAACTTGAATACAAACAGGAAAAAAAGGAAGGACAAAAAACGCTGTTTACCACACTGAGCACACAGCATATAGAAAAAAAGGTAACCTATACATATACATACATATATAGACTTACCTATTTATTGAGAGAGAGTGCACGTGGGAGAGCAGGGGGAAGGGCAGAGGGCGAGAGAGAGAATCCCAAGCAGACTCCACGGGGCTCAATCCCACGACTGTGAAATCATGACCGAGCCAAAATCAAGACTTGGGAACACGTGGAACGCCTGCGTGGCTCAGTCAGTTGAGCGTCTGCCTTCAGCTCGGGTCATGATCCCAGGGTCCTGGGACTGAGCCCCACATCGAGCTCCCTGCTCAGTGGGGAGTCTGCTTCTCCCTCTGCCTGCCGCTTCTCCTAGCCTGTTCTCTCTGACAAATAAAGAAAAATCTTAAAAAAAAAGAAAAAGAAAAAGAAATAAAGACTTGGGACGTTTAACTGACTGAGCCACCCAGGCACCCCCAAAAGTCACATAACTTTTAGAACAGTATTTTGACTGTGTATCTTAAGTGGGATATATTCTAAGGATAAAAGCCGCAACAAACATAAAAACATTCAACTTTACTTAGAATATTATTGTGATAGGATTGTAAAACAATTTTATGTTATCACAGAATAACACAAGTAAATATATTATGGATAGGGAGCCTGGGTGGCTCAGTTGGTTAAGCATCTGCCTTCGGCTTGGGTCGTGATCACAGGGTCCTGAGATCGAGCATCGCGTCAAGCTCCCTGCTCAGCGGGAAGCCTGCTTCTACCTCTCCCACTCCCCCTGCTTGTTTCCCTCTCTCGCTGTCTCTCTCTCTGTCAAATAAATTATAACTAAAATCTTAAAAAAAAAAAAATGCATAAAGATTTTGAGTCTAGGAGAATAGTGTTAAAAATGCAAAACAAAAGGGAAAATGTTAATATTGAATTTTTTGAAAATATCAGTATAAGCTCAAGATTCCGTAACTTTTCCCCTTAAAATAATTATTTAAAAAATGTTTTTTTCTGAGGCACCTGGGTGGCTCAGTCAGTTAAGGTCTGCCTTTGGCTCAGGTCATGATCCTGGGGTCCTAAGATGGAGCCCTACGTCAGGCTCCCCGCTCAGCGGGGAGTCTGCTTCTCCCTCTCCCTCTGCCCTACAGCCCCTGCTTGCTCACTTTCTCTCTCAATAAAATCTTTAAAAAAAATAAAAAATGTCTTTTCTAACTCTGTTCATTGAAATGACAGAAGTAATGATATTCCACAGGCAATGAACACATTTAATGGTCAAACTTTAGTTTCTGTAAATATAATGCTCACAAAAATGAACCCTGGTTTGAGAAATGGTTAATTCTGAGTCTGGGACAATCAAAACACAAGATGAGCTCATGCTATCTTTTACCAGAAGGCTAATTAATTAATTAAAAAAACAACAACAGAAGAAATGCTCAAAGACTACTGGGGTCACACATCAATGCTCATGAGCTTTATGACCCCCAGAGCATTAGTATATCTTATGCTAATCTGTCACCTCTATCTTTGACTTGTGACTTCATAATCACTAGAGCTCCTTCTTTTGAGTAACCTAATACAGTTATCCCAAGCATATCCATCTTCATTTCCACCCGTACTTGGAGTACACCTTTCCAATCCATGTAACACGTGAGTGTCATTGGACAGCTCATCCTCAAGTTACCAACACCCACTTGTAACATTAAGTTTGACTTCCAGGAATGATGACTAACCTAAGATATATTCACCTCTTTATTGTCTCCTTTTTCTGATTTTTCAGGTGACTTAGCAGCAACTCAAGTAGTTTGAAAATAAAGAATTCCTTCTTCTGTACTATACTAGTTTAATGGTAGGTTACACAAAAATAAATCTAAAACTAAGAGAAAATTTGTAAGGTTATGCTCTTTTTAGAAATAATTTTGATCCTTACCTTAAATTTGGCTATATGTAGTCAAAAGCTGTTAAATAGTGGTTTTCTTTGAAGGAATAAAAAGAATTTTTATTTTCTTATTTGTATTTTCTTACTTGTTCCTTATACTCTCTCAATTCTTCATATTAAGCACGTATTACTTTGAAATTAAATCCTTAAGCAATTTCATTTTTTTCAAAGCATATTAAAACATCAGATTTAAAATTCAGAAGTTCTGAAAATAATGAAATTCTATTGTTTACCTGTGTGCTTTCCCTCGCCACTTATAAGGCTGAGCTGAATCAGGATTTATTTCAATAGCTCTGTCACAGTCTCGAATGGCAGCATTTGGCTTCTGTAATTTGATGAAGACACTAAAAAAATAAGTGTGATATTAAAAAGTATTCATTTCAAACAATAACACCTTTGGGATCACCACAGAAGCAATTCTATTTAAATAAATGAGCAGAAATTCTTCACTAGGGGATTCTTTTTTGTTTACAGTTCTCACCTGGCTCTCTTGGCATACAGAATGGCCAAGCGAGGATTCAGTTTGATGGCATCTGTGAACAAGTCAATGGCTTTCTGTAGTTCACCTGAAGTAAAACAAGTTGAAAAATAAAGAATAAAAAATAAAAAATATTAACAAAATTGTTGATCCTTTATCCTATTAATCTTCCACATTCTTCTTTTAGTCCAATAAAAAAAAGACTAATTTCTAAATTAATATACAAAAACGGCTCTTCAGGGACGCCTGGTTGGCTCAGTCGGTTAAGCATCTGACTCTTGATTTCGGCTCAGGTCATGGTCTCTGGGTTGTGAGATCGAGCCCTCCGCCAGGCTCCACACTTAGCAGAGTCTATCTGAGATCCTCTCTCTCCCTCTCCCTCAGCCCCTCCCCCCACTCACTCCCTAAATAAATAAATCTTAAAAAAACCAAAAAACAAAAACGGCTCTTTAAAGCAAGTCTTACCACACCTATACGATAAATCACTCAAGATAGAGACAATTTTTGGATACATAATTCCCTAACAGTAGAATACCACATTCTTAGAACTCAAGATTTTTTTAGTTAAGAAAAAACAAAAGGATAAAGTAAAGGATAATCAATTTTAGTCCATTGATTCTCTTTTATCCATTAAGTTAAAAGGATAAAATTAAACTTATAAAGGAAAAAATACTCATACTAAATTTACAGGGTTGATTAAAAAAATTACTATTTGAATTCACAGGAATGGTATAAGATTCAAGAAAAACTAGAATTCATAAGAAGCCCATAACCCCCATTTTAAATTCATTCATTGTATTCTATTCTCACAGTTAGCTTCTTTGTGTATTAGTGCCTTCAGTGAAGTCACTGAACAAATTAAGCATACTATACAATTAGAATAGTTCTTTGCAAAGGGGCGCCTGGGTGGCTCAGTTGTTAAGTGTCTGCCTTCAGCTCAGGTCATGATCCCAGGGTCCTGGGATCGAGCCCCGCATCAGGCTCCCTGCTCAGTGGGGAGCCTGCTTCTCCCTCCCCCACTCCCGTTTGTGTTCCCTTCTCTCGCTGTGTCTCTGTCAAAATAAATAAATAAAATCTTAAAAAAAAAAAAAAAAAAGTTCTTTGCACGAAATCTAACTCCTGGACACAGGAAACACGGTGGGAGAAGGGGAAGGACAACAAGACAAGCAGAATTTTAAAGTAAATGTCACAGTTCACTTTGGAAAATACATTTACCCAGCTATAAATCTGTAAAGGACCTTAACAGAACTCATAAAACAATGCAGAAGAATGTTGAGTCTTATTAAGTACTACTACAGATGTTACAAATTATTGCACTTGGATGTCTAATAAGCAGTTCACACCTACCATGTTCAAAACTGAACTCTTAATTCCAATCCCATCTCTAAAATCTATTTCTCATCCTTATATTACCAAATAAATGGCTCTTCCATTCAATCTAGTTTAGAGGTCAGTAAACTTTTCTGGAAAGGGCCACATAAGAATTATTTTAGGCTTTGCAGACCATACCAATCATAACCATTCAACTCTACTACTGTAGTGGGGAAGTCACAGACAACACATGAACAAATGGGTGTAACTACGTTCCATTACATTTTTACAAAAACAGGAAGCTGTAATTTGGCTAACTCCTGATCTACCTCAATGCCCAAATCTTGGAGTCATTCTCAACTCCCCAATCTAAAACCTAAATCCTTTTCTCTCTACTTTCAAAATATACCTAGAATCTAACCACTCCTGGGGCGCCTGGGTGGCTCAGTTGGTTAAGCATCCGACTCTTGATTCGGGTCAGGTCATGATCTCAGGGTCGTAAGGTCGAGCCCCATGGCTGAGCTCCACGCTCAGCGGGGAATCTGCTTGAGATTCTTTCTCCCCCTCTCCCTCGTGCGCCCCCCCAAATAAATCAATCTATATTAAAAAAAAAAAAGAATCTAGCCACTCCTCAACCCAGTCCTGACGTTTCCACACCAAGGACAGTTTGTTAGCACTGCATGAACTACTCACTTGATACAGTTCACAGCTTCAACACTGCACCACTACATTCCTTTTGATGGTATCTTTGAAAAACTGTTTCTACTGGTTGTTATGATAAAAAAAAAATCAAGAACTGCAGAAAAACAGATTGTGGAACAGGAAACGAGGGCGGCAGTGTCCAATATGACGCCAAGATCTGAGAAGTTGTTTAGTGCCCAACATATATACACGTCTTATTAGAAAGTAAATATGGTTATTTAAGAATAAGATTAAATATATTCTTTCAATTGTGTGTATTATTTTCCAATCACTAACTTGTTACAACACACTTATTAAATTGTTTGGACCTAACTACATTATCAATGAAACCCTTATGCCTTTCTTTTGGCTTAAAAGTTCTGTTAAAAAAAAAAAATCAAGACAGTAAAAGCACTATAAACAGAAAAGTCTGGGAACCTTTGCCCTAATCCAGGCCATGATTGTTAGCCACCTGGACTCAATTTCTTGCATTCCTTCTGTAGGATCATGAAAATGCACCCTAGATCTCCTGGGGTAGAACCTAACTGACTGGGAAACCCACGTTCTGTGCTCAAGGCTACACTTCATAAGCTGCTCCCAGTTAATGACTAAGTACAGCAAGGATACCAAAACTGGTCCATTATCGTGAGACATGTTAAATCCTCTAGCGGGCAACTCGGCTTGTTTTGACTTTTTAGAAACACACCAATAGTTGAAGACTTTTCCTATACAGGGGGTAAAGACCTACATGACTGTCTAAATGACTTCCAGACTCCTCTGGCTCTCCCTGCTCCCCTATTTTTCCTTTCAGGCATTTTCTTAAGTATATCTCTAGCACATCAACTCATGTTTTGGCTGCTTCTGTAATGAACATACCCTTATTTGCCCTTAGAATTTGATCTACAGAAAATAGTAAAAATAATCCTTTTCAAAAGTAAATGCATCTCATGATGAAGCTTTCCTATACAAAAACAGAACAAAAAACACCCCACAACACCACCACCTCAGTGGCTTCCCATCATCCTTAAGGTCAAAATTTTCAGTCCTTAGTATGGTCTACAAGTGATCTTGTACATCTACTACAGATCTTTAGTGATCTATCCTTCTCACCACCTTCCCACCACATATCTCCTACTCTGAAGAGTTTCTCTGACCTCAATTCTACCACTCTTACCCCTTCACTCACCACACTCCAGCTACAAGGCCTTTCTGCTATTCCCTGAATATGTATTCATCTCATATGCTCCCCCAGTTAGCCTCTGTACTTGTTCTTCCCTCTGTCTCAAAGGCTCTTCCCTCACATGGCTTGCACATTTCACTTCATCATATGCTTTTCTGACCACCCTTTGCAAAACAGAGCTTCCATCACTGACTATTCTTTTACTCAGCTCTGTTTTTCTTCAGGCACTTATTACCACCTAATATTAAATTATGAATTTGGTTTTGTTCCCCAGTAATATATGAGGTCCATGAGGTAAAGAACTTGGTCTGTTTTGTTTTTCTCACTGTATATCCAGCATCTAAACACTGCCTAGAGTTCTAAATAAATATACTAAACTGAAAAAAGCATAATAATGTTACTAATAACGTGACAGCTAAAAATACTTACTAAGGTCTTACTTAAATTATGACTATTGACATTTTGGTAATACCAGGACCTTAGTAATAACGATGGCAGATACTATTCTAGGCACATTACACATACTTATTCATTTATCCCTCATGACTCAATATACTAGGTAGGTACATTATCCTTATCTTACAAAGGAGGAAACAGGGGTGCCTGGGTGGCTCATTCAGTTAAGCATCCAACTCTTGGTTTTGGCTCAGCTCATGATCTCAGGGTCATGAGATCAAGCTCCTCACTCAGCATGGAGTCCGCTTGAGATTCTCTCTCTCTCTCCCTCTCTGCCCCTCCCCCTGCTCACACACTCTCTCTCAAATAAGTAATAATAAAAATCTTTTAAAAAAAATCATTTAAAAAAAGGAGGAGGAAACAGAAGCAGAGACAAAGAATAACTTCTCTACGTTTATCTAGCTGGTAACTGCCAGAGCTGGGATTCAAACCCAGGCACTTTGGCTTCCAAAGTTCAGTATTTAATTATATTTCTGCCCCTCCAACCCCAGGTAGGGCCTGAATCTACAATCCCTGGCTTAGAATACTAATGTTTTATCCCTCTAGGATATACTATAAAATTGCACTTATTCTAAAATTAGAACTAGGTTAGGGGTGCCTGGGTGGCACAGTCAATTAAGTGTCAACTCTTGATTTTGGTTCAGCTCATGATCTCAGGGTCCTAGGATCAAGGCCAGAGTCAGGCTCCATGCTCAGCGTGGAGTTCACTTGAGCTTCTCTCTCCCTGTGCCCCTCCTACTCGTGCTGTTTCTCTCAAATAAGTTAATCAGTAAATGTCTCTCTCTCAAGTAAGTTAACCAACCTTTAATAAAATAAAATTAGAACGGGGTTAAATTTATACATGAACACAGCTTAGAAAGAAATGTGGAAAAAACAAGAACGTGACTTTTTAGATGGCAGCAACAGCTTCATTTTCCTTAAAAATTGCTAGGCAATAAACAAAACAAATTTAAAAAATATAAGAATATGCCAAAATAAGTGACAAAAACAATTAGTTGATATTATGGCACAGTGAGATCCTGCACAAGTCAAAACCCTTCTGATCCCTCAAATTATTCATTAACCTGTGAAATGGGAGTAGTATGAGATTTTAATAAAATAATGCACATATAATAAAACTGTCAGGTAGGTAGTAGCCACAAAATAAATGCTGGATAAACAGAAATCTTAGGTGGTAGTAAAATTAAAAGATAAGTGTGGGAAAGGAATGGCCAGGAAGAGAAGTAGCTGGGATCAATTGATGGGTATGAATTAAAAGCTGAATAGGTAAAGAAGAGCTTTAGAAAGAAGCAGCAGAGCACAAAAGTATAGGAAAATTATAGAACAGCGAGGTCTGGCTGTAATGGAAGGTTAATATTCAAAAGAAGAGAACAAGGCTGGGAAGGCAATACATGGGATCAGACTCTAGCAGGTCTAATGCTACGATGAACATCTTCAAAAAGTATGCAAAAAGCTAGTCAGAGTTACAAGCAAGGGAATGTGTGAAAATAAAAAGCGGTTCTAAGAACGAATAATCTAGAGGCAGTGAATAGAAAGCAATAAAAGAAATAGACATTTCAGATAGGCAAACTATTAAGGCCAATGCAATGGCATAAACATGTGATAATGACCTAAACTAAGAAGGTGGTAAGATTACAAAAAAAGAAAGCAAGTATTATTTGCCAACTTGGAACAGCAATCAATACTGAACTTTCTAGAACTTTAGTCATCTTCTAAGTCTATGGATGAAGTGCAAATGCATATCAGCATTAGAGAGCAGCAGCTCTCCCACAATGGCATTGTGTGACACACTACCACGAAGCTATGAAGGGGTCTGCATACTACCCAAGCTAAGAAATGATTTGTTCTCACAAATTTTAACTGATTAAATATTATGCTTACTATATTACCAGCATTCTCCCACTTTGAAAGGATCTTTTGAAGAGGGTCTAACACATAAAGATTACACAAGAACATTATGCCAACGGCCATCATTTGTCAAGGGTGTTGCTATATACAAGGTTAAGAGCCACTGTTCTAATACTACTACTTTTTTTGAAAAACATTCACATCTTAAAGCCTCTCCTCAGTGGACAAACACCAGGATTAGTCAGGAAAGGAGTCTTTCAGTCACATCAGGATGTGTCCGTGCCCTGAGGCAAGGTAATTAATACCTGAGTGATTTCAGCCTCTTTTTCAAGGGGGGAATGGGTGGGTAGAGAACAAGATGATTTCTTCTCCAGCTTAAGATACTTAATAAATATAAGTTCCCTTCCACTTTCCCACTATTTAACAGTTGCTGCAGGGAAAAAGAGAATATTCAGACTACCACAGAAATATAGCAAAGAGGGAAAAAAAAAATCACTCACCATCATTTAGGGCATCAATGGCAGCCACTTTTTTATCATTTGCCTGATCCATCATTTCCTCGGTTATCTAGGGGGAAATTGTAGGTCAACTTAGAAGTAACAGAGAAAGCAAAGAGAAGGAAGCAGCTTGGGCTTTCTTAGGGATGGGGTAGACACAACCCCCATTTTCATTCATTCTTCTCTAGTCTCCAGGGAGCAAGAGGATAACTATGGTAAGTGATTAGTAAGAAATTACACAGGATGAGCTTTAATCTTTCATATAAACAATATAAACAATAAATTTCACTCCCTACCCTTTACTTTAGACATGACCATTATTTCCCTCCATCCCAACCAATCTTAGCAGGATGTTCCTGCTCCTGTCCCACCAACTCCTTTCTAGTTTTTCACAAATACTAAAACTCAATCTCCTCGTAAAGATGTAACTAAAGCTAGTTCCTGTTAGACTTAAATTTTAAGTGAAATGTCTCATTCTTTTGTTCCAACAAACATACTACTGAGTACCTATACTGTACAGAACACTGTACAAGATGCTGACAGTACAAAGATTAGTAACAAAAACTTACAGCGAACATCCCACCTAAACAGAAAGTTAAGATAGTTTAACAAAAGGCAAAAAGATCTACTCTATCACCAACCACTGTGTAAAATATTACTGGTGCTGGCTAATTCATTAAGAAAGTGACTTGACACGTTTAAGAATTGAAAGGAAATACCAAGCTGTCTTCAAGTTTACCTAGAAAACTCAAGACATCACAGGCTATTAGAGCTACCAAAACAATTCAATAGTCCTCAGAAACACAGAAACAACATAAAAATCCAGAGTTCCTCCACATCAGCAAATATCAGTTACAAAATAGGACAGAACAAGATACCATTCTAAGAACATGTAAGACTTTCGGGGGGGGGCGGGGGCGCGCCTGAGTGGCTCAGTCGTTAAGCATCTGCCTTCGGCTGGGGTCATGATCCCAGGGTTCTGGGATTGAGCCCCTCGTCGGGCTCTCTGCTCGGTGGGAAGCCTGCTTCTCCCTCTCCCACTCCCCCTGCTTGTGTTCCCTCTCTCGCTGTCTCTGTCAAATAAATAAATAAAATCTTACAAAAAAAAAAAGACTTTCAAAGGGGGAACAAAAGTAAAATTCTACAAAAGAACACAAGATGTATACTATGTTCATGGAAAGTTTTTTTGAATACTTCAACCTAACCCCAAGTTACTCAATAAATTTGAAGTAATTCCAACAAAAATTTTAAAATCTTTTGAAAACAAAAAGAAGAAAACAACAAAGACACACTTTACCAGATAGTAAGACATCGTAACAAAGCCAAATTGGGAGAAAAAAAAAAAAAGACAACTTCAGTTTGTGGCAATATGTTACACATGATGCCCTGAGTAAGTGTAAAAGCCATCTTTGACCTAAGAATGTTGAAAAATCCTCAAAGAACAAGATTAAAAGAAGACTTGAAATCCAGTATGGGAGCCGAATGCTCCATCTGCTTTCACCCTTTCAGCAGGTGTCAAACCTGGTGACCTCGCAATTGTTTTCAAATGTAGTGCAGGACACATGAAAGAAAGTCTAGAAGGGAATGCATGTTGTCTAATCGACACCCTCCAATAAATCTGGAATCCCCAATGCCTATACCTGCAAGCATAATAGCAAACCAAAAATAAACCTGTCCCAAAGAAAGGTATAGCCAAGTAGCAAAAAGAAGGAAAAAAAAATTCTCCTGTAAACTCATAATGATAAGCCAGGCTTTCCAGTGGAATTCCCATTACTTGTATAGTTACACAAACAACAAAAAAAACCAAGCTGAGATTTAAAGTGGTCCTTGACTTGGTAGCTCCAACTCAAGAGTCTCGATGTAAGCGAACACTTTCCTCTTTGGAGGAATACACCTTCTACTCAGGCCTCAAAAACTTTTCCAGGTGAAATATCAAAGAACTCATGGTCAAAATTCCAACACACACACACATATACATGCACGCAGTCAAAATACACACAGACACACATAGACATACCATCCACAAGTAAACAAGGTACCTCCCTCAATGAGCAAGAGTCAGGAAAAATAAAAGAATAAAACCAGGAAGAGTTCGACAAAGTTTATAATATGTTTAAGAGAATAAAGGCAAGTTCTGAAAAAGAGACTTATAAATAACCAAGTATACTTTAAAATGAATCAAAGCCAAGACATAAAGATGAAAAACATAAGCATTCAAATTCAAACGTTAACAGCCAAATGACTGAAAGCATACAAAATTCGGCAGTGACAAAGAAAAAGAATTTAAGGGGCACCTGGGTGACTCAGTTAAGTGTCTGCCTTCAGCTCAGGTCATGATCCCAGGATCCTAGGATGGAACCCCGCATCGGGCTCTCTGCTCTGTGGGGAGCCTGCTTCTCCCTCTCCCACTCCCCCTGCTTGTGTTCCCTCTCTCACTGTCTGTCAATTAAATAAATAAAATCTTTAAAAAAAATAAGAAGAAACAGAATTTAATAGTGAAAAAAATCTAATACATATCTAACCAGGACTCCAGAATGACAGTAGAGAGAATGGGGAAGAGGAAATATTTGAAAGATACTAGATGAAAAATGTTCCAGAGGTAAAGAAAGTTAACCCTAGAATTTAAAATGCCCAATATATCCCAAGTAGCACAAATACAGTGTTATAAGCCTAGACAAGTCAAAGTGATACAGCATCATCAATACATAATTTTTAAAAATTCCTTTCACAAACAGTGAGAAAAAGTACCTATATTTGTTCTTAAAGATGCACATGACCTTTATGGAGAAAATGCTAATAAATTATCTAAAAACATCAGAAAAGACCTAAAAATTAGACAGATATGTATATTCATGGGTAGTTAATCACAACAGTGAGCTGTATCCTCTCCCTAACTTGGTTTTAAATTTAATGCACTTCTAACTGAGGGCGGAGAGAATTGATACTATTCTAGAATTTATATGGAAAAACAAAGGCCAACAAAGCAGCCAAAATACTCCTAAATTGTTGGGAGTCCCCCTACCAGATAACAAGACTTAATATAAAGCCAAGTAAGACAATGTGTTATAAGCACATGGAAAAAAATTAGACAAGGAGAACACAACACCAGAACTGACCCACACATATATGGAAACAGTGTATTTTGGCATTGGTGAGGAAAGGAATTCTTTAATAGTGCTGCCAGGTAGATTAAAGGTGAAAAGGTTAACACATAAAATTTTCAGAATGAAAAAATGATTTATTACAGCACTTATAACCTTGAAATAACAAAGCGTAATATATAAAAGAATAATCTATTTAACTGTACTAAAAGACTGTTTATTAAGACAACATAAAGTGAAGACAAGCCACAAACTTAGCAGAAAATATGTGAAGTACAGATAAATGACAAATTGTTAGTCTCTAGAACATAAAATGAACTATAAATCAGTGAGAAAAAAGACGACCCAGAAGAAAAATGGGAAAAGTCACAATAGGACTTCACAAATACCTGTGAAGGACCAATAAACATCAGAATATGCTCAACTTTATTGGAAATTGGAAAAACGCAAATTAAAAGCCAGAAGGGCGTACCATTTCACACAATAAGCCTGGCAAAGATGAAATCTGATAGTATCAAGTGTTGGTGAGGACACGGACCAAGCTTCTAAACCACAACTACACTGTCAGTGTTTCTCAAGCCTTTGTTCACTATCCACCCCCAAAGAGCCATTTGAGACATTTTTTAATACTCCCCCATTCCATTTTAATACCACACAGATACATTGCATATATGTTATGAACCTCTGGAAGACCACTAACCACTGTAATATCTAAGTTTTTTTGCAAGCCCTCTCCCAAGAACCAATTCTTACTACCTTAAGGGTAAAACTGTACCCAATGTGACAAAACCATTTTGGAAAACAATGGGATACTAGATATCCCATTAATAAGCAATTTCATTTCTAAATATAAATGTTAGGTGAACTCTGTAGTCCAAAGAGTAGTCAAAACAGATACAAATTGAAAAAGCAGGTAAACAGAAAGTAACAATTAGAGTATGATTGAAAATAACGGGTATTAGGGTGCCTGGGTGGCTCAGTTGTTAAGCGTCTGCCTTCGGCTCAGGTCATGATCCCAGGGTCCTGGGATGGAGCCCTGTATCGGGCTCCCTGCTCCGCGGGAAGCCTGCTTCTCCCTCTCCCATTCCCCCTGCTTGTGTTCCCTTTCTCACTGTCTCTCTCTCTCTGTCAAATAAAGAAATAAAATCTTTAAAAAAAAGAAAAAAGAAAATAACGGGTATTTTCACAAATATTTTAAGCAGTAAAATAAAATTGCTTTCCTAAATACCTTAAGTCAGAGAAAGATTTAGTATGGTCTTTTCCTGGCAGAATTATGTCATAAAATCATTGCAATAGGTGGGACCTTCACATTCCTTACAACAAGCAGAAAATAAGCCACTGAACTTACCTCTACATTTTCATCTCCCATTTCTTGAGGGGCATCAGTATCTGGTTCAATCACACCTTCATTGTCAATTTCTGCCAAAATTAAGAAAATGACCGTAAGACCTGTGCTGTCCCATACAGCAGCCACTAGTTGCATAAGACTCTTAAAAACTAATGAACTATGGCCACTCCAACTGATAACCTAAGTATTCTACTTTGTTAATTTATTTAAACTGATGCACTGTAAAATATTTCCCCATTAAATACTACTTTATTCTTTTGTAAAGATTATATTTCAACGGTTGCATCATCTAGGATATTTATCACTGTTTTGTAGTGGGAATGTTGGCAAGTGCAGTTTCTAGTACTACACAGAGACACCACTGATTTAGTCAGTGTCAGCAAAATGATTCAAATATTTTATTCTACACATCAATGTAATGTTTTCAAAAATATTTTATGCAGATAGCACAAGTTAGAGTGATGATGTAAATCGTAATAAAAATTTTTTTTTTTTACAGATAAATTTTAGGATAAAGCACAATGCTGAGGCAGACTCTAAATCAAAAGCTAGCACTATAACCAAAACAGCAAAGAAAGAAACTAGAAAGAGATAGAGTCATAAATTTCATGACAACTGTAATTTGCTACAGTAAAGGAAAACATAATAACTGTTCAATATAAAAAACTTTTCAAAATAATAGATAATATTAAGAGACATTTTTAGCAAACAGTGAATTTAATGTTTAACGCTGACAGCCAAAAAAAATGAAAATGAGGGGCAGCTGGCTGGCTCAGTCAGAAGAGCATGTGACTCTTGATCTCAGGGTTGTGAGTTCAAGACCCACATTGGGTATGGAGATTAAATAAATAAACTTAAAAAAAAAAGAATGAAACTGAAATTAGCTACCTGAAATTCAAATTGTCGTCGAACAAAAAAATTTTCATCAACTTTTACTAGGAACTGAATTTGTACCTTTGTCTAACTATAAAACAGCTTAATTCATATACAAAAAAGAAAATGCTTTTGGATGAAAAGATGGTAAGTCATTATCATAGTTATGGAAATTGTTGGAAAATAGTAAGACTGAAAAAGGTATTTTACAAAAAATGAAAGATCATCAATTAAGCCCGCAAACAAGAAGTCCTTTCTAACAGTATCAAAGATCAATTGATTCAAAATTCGAAAAATTACATTTCTTTAGCTTTTAGACAGAGTCTATGAATTAAGAGACTGCCCATTTAATAACTGGGATATATATTTATAGTCTCAAAGGACTTTCAAATTTAGGAAAAGATTTTTGTCAGTTTGCAGCCTAAAAAAACTCCCAAACAAAAAAAACAAAACTCATGGCGTATCATTTCTTCTAAAATGAACAAGTTTAATCAATGTGGGTGCAAGTAGTAACAGAATAACTTTCTGGTACTTTATTCAGTTATTGGAAAACTTTTACATATATTTACAACAACTTGGGTATGTTACCCAACTACAAATTTCATTAAGTCTGCATATACAGCAAATATTTCCACAAAAATATAACATCTAACATCTGTATTAAAATGTGCTGTAAGTATAAAATACACTCTGGATTTTGAAGACTTCGTATGAATAAAAGGAAAAGATCTCACTAATAATTTTTCCATATTGATTACACATTGAAATGTATTTTAGATAGTTTAGATATGTTAAGTTAATTTCATCTGTTTAATTTTTAAATTTCTTAAACGTGGCTACCAGAAAATTTTAAGTTTCATATGTAGCTCAGCTACATTACATTTCTATTAGCCTTGATTTAGTCAATTTAGTAAAAATCGGCACAGGATCTCATCATGAGATTATCAAATACAAACTAACTACACAATCTCCTCACCTAGATCACTTTCCTCACTTGATGGTTCGTCTGTCTTTATGTTTTCCTCCGCCTTCTTACTATCTGTTTTTTCTTCCTAGCAAAGGGAAGGCAAACAATGCTTTCAGTATTTAGTAACACGCCCAATATACATACTAATTTATAAAAACATATATAAACTGTTCACATACATTGTATTTCAGTTAATATACCCTCCTTTCTTACACTGTTTTGGTAAACTTGTTTTAGTTTTGTTTTCATTTCTCTTTTTAAAGTAAGAATAGGTAAAATCCCTCCTCCAAACCTTTTAAACAAGTTTTAGAATTTAAAAAATGCTGGATTGTAGGAACCTAATACAAATGCATAATCCATACTTATGTTGCACCCTCAACAGGCACTGTGGTCCACAACTCTCCATAATCAACAAATACTATTTCTGCAAAATAAAGTCTGAGCATTCTTAGTGGGATACAAACTATAAATAGCCTCACATCTGTTCAGATTATGCTTTACTGCCAAACAAATACACTAAAAAATCTTTACATTTTCGGGGCGCCTGGGTGGCTCAGTTGGTTAAGCGACTGCCTTCGGCTCAGGTCATGATCCTGGAGTCCTGGGATCGAGTCCCGCATCGGGCTCCCTGCTTGGCAGGGAGTCTGCTTCTCCCTCTGACCCTCCTCCCTCTCATGCTCTCTGTCTCTCATTCTCTCTCTCTCAAATAAATTAATTAATTAATTTTAAAAAAAATTTACATTTTCAAGGGTTTTGAGTTTGGAATTTCAAATATGAAACAATGGAACTATAATACATAAATGATGAGAATTCAAAGAATTTCAAGGTACACATGATGAAAACCAAATTTCCTTCCCATCCTATAAGTAACCAGTGTGGTTTCTGGTATATCCCATTAGATATTCTCAACGCATAGATAAGACAATTCTGCACTTTGACCTTTCCATTTCACAATGCTGTGTTTCATAAAGAATATATCACAACCAGCACACCCCCATCTATTCATTTAACTGTATTAGTATATATTATATAACCAGTGAATTAGGTCGCTACTTTTTGTAATTCTTAAAAATTAGGTTCAAAACCCTACCTCATTACAAAATATATGTTGAGACCCTACCATGTGCAAGGTGTCAGATGCTTTAGCATGTAATTCCAAATCAGAATGTTTTCTTACAAAAATATTTTAGCAGAGATATAGATTAAATATAATTTTGTCTTCATACATGTTTACCATATAGCAAAATATCCTGTCTAGGTATCCTATCAAAGTATCCTATTAGGAACTAGTAACTGACGAACGACTCCTCTAAGATAACTACTTTGGGGGCTTTTGTTTAACTTCTCTCACTTCACTTGTTCAAAGATAGAACTTCTGATTTCATATCCAGATAGATAAACCTTGTTTAAGGTTCTAAAAAATAAAACAGTAAATTTTCTTATCAATTTAAGACCGCTAACCAGAAAACTTAGGGAGAAGCGCATGGTTGGCTCAGGTCATGATTGCAGGGTTGGGAGATTCAGCCCCATGTAGGGCTCTATGCTCAGCTCGGAGTCTGCTTAAGATTCTCTCTCTCTCTGTTCCCCCACCCCTCGTGTTCTCTCTCTAAAAAAAGAAAGGAAGGAAAGAAGTAAACTTGGGGAAAAATATTTTAGGCATGAAAACACAAAATAGGAGAAATAAGAATTCTGAAGGAAGCATTTTTTTTGAAGGAAGGAAGGGAGGGAAGAAGGGAGGAAGGGAAGAAGGAAAGGAAGAAAGGAAAAAAGAGGAAAGAAAAAAGAATGGGAAGGGTTTTTGGAGGAGGATCGGAAATTAAAATAAAAATGAAATTAAAATGAGTGCTGGGAGAGCTAGGAAGCTTGGCTTGGCATTAACCCCCACCTCTGTCCATTGTTAGGGCTGGTTTCCTGCCCACTTTATTTTTTTTTTAAAGATTTTATTTATTTCATTGACAGAGACAGACACAGTGAGAAAGGGAACACAAGCAGGGGGAGTGGGAGAGGGAGAAGCAGGCTTCCCGCCGAGCAGGGAACCCAATGCGGGGCTCGATCCCAGGACCCTGGGATCATGACCTGAGGCGAAGGCAGACGCTTAGTGACTGAGCCACCCAGCCCCTCCTGCCCACTTTAAAGGAGTGTAGTGGGCTCTTTTCTGCTTTCTTTCTCACGAACCACCCAAGGTTTTTTTTGTTCCCTCCACCCTGCTCTTCTCTTGAAGGAAGCATTCTTAAGGGTACACCCACCCCCATCTCTAAACTTCAGCTACTGGTAAGCTCCTCCTAATCTTTTGGCATCTTTTTTTTGGGCAAATATGCTGACTCATACTCTGAAATAACCCTCAGGTGATATGGTAGAGAAACTTTGATTTGGACTATTTTTCATTTACTTCGCAAATTTTAATCGAGTACCTACCATGCATAAAACGCTGTGCTAGGTGCTAAAGATGCAATGATGATGAAGACTACGTAACGCACACAGTCACAGAGCTTACCACCCACAGGTCATGCATGTAACACACACAAGCTTTTGTTCTCAAACACAGTGAACATTCAACCCCAAATTCTCAGTGTTAAATGAGATTCCAGAAACTCTATGTCCAAACAGAAATTTTACAAAGATCTTATTTCCAAGTGATCCTGGGGAAATCAGGAATGGCAATTTGAGGACAGCACTTTAAAAACCTTACAGTACTTTATCACTAAACATACACATGAAATTCATAACTTACCTTGATATTGTCTTCTGATTTAGTTTTATGAGTAGCAGGTGGTATTTTACCCCCCATGCTTGAGGAAGATGAGAAAAAAGATATTTGTTTAGAAAATTAAAATTCATTGAGCAAAGCAACATTTACTTACACTGGAAAAAAAAGATATTTAGATGGTTACTTTCTCAAACCTTTAAGAGTAAACTCAATTAATTTGAATGCTTCAGTATTAGGTTTTTTCAGCTTAAAATTATTTTTTTTTACTGGTTAATGAAAATCTAACCCTTTCCTTGCCTCAATAAGCCTAATAAACATTAATTATGTAGCTTCTTTGTGCCCATTCCCAAAGGAAGAGGCAGAAAAACATGCAATAACAAAATCATTTGTACAAGTTAGAATTCAGTACGTATACTGAATCCAAAACCTCAACTTTAGTAAGCGCTCACTTAAATTAAAATAATCAGTTTATGAAATAATTATGAAGTCATAGTATAATAATTCAAAATGTTTGTTTCCTCTGACTAGGACCTACAAAGACTCTTTCAGTTTATATTTCATATGCCCCTCACAATATATATTTTCTCCTTATCCCTTCTACAATCCACCCATTAATACTTCCCCTTGGCCTTGTAAGTCCTTTCCCAAACATTCCATGACGATACCATGAATTAAAAACAAATAACTAAAAAATAAGGAGTAAAAAAGACTATGAAGAATTAGTGCTATATGCTCCATTTGGGCCAGACCCTGAAGTATATGGGCCCCATGCAGCAGCAGTCCAGCGACTAAAATGTTCAATGGATTAAGGGCACTCCTCCACGATAGTGAAAACTGGAAGTCACAAGGACTTAACTAAAATTTGCCTTAAAAAAAGAAAAAGAAAAAAAAAGGCATTAACTTTTATGTAAAAAAGAGATATTCACTTAGAAAACAAAGGAATCTACTTCAAAACACCCTTAGGTATTGATTCTTTGTAACCAGAGTTATATCCACGTTTACATTCCTTTCAGGTAGACGGAATTTCTGGACACAAAGTATGTGTATGTTGGATTTAAATGGATACTGGTTTCCAAATAGGAAATGGATTTGGTTCTTCAAGGTTCTTTTACCAATTTACGCTTGTATTAGTGGTGCATAAGAATTCCAATAATTTTTTTAAAAATCCAGTTGGTCCACACCTCGGCCAACATTTAGCTATTGTCCATCTTTTAAATATTTAGCCATTTTGATAGATGTATAGTAGTATCTCATGGTAGTTTAGTCCCTTCTCATTTATTTATTGGCCCTCTGAATAGCCTTTTGTGTAAAGTTCAACTCTCATCCAGCTTTCTGTTAGATTATCTGTAATACTTATCTGTAGGTATTCTTTGTATACTCTGCATACAAGCCTTCTGTCAGTTTTATGTGTTGCAAAGATCTTCTCCCACCCCGTGGCTTGCCTTTTCACTTACAAAATGAAGCCAACATGAAGCAAAACTATAAATCTAAAACAGCAAATGCAATAACAGACAAAGTTTGGAATTTCTTGTTAAGCACCAATCAAGAAAAATGTGCACACTTTCCCCATTCAGTTTAATGTGACAGTTACAGAAAAATCTTTACTTACTCAGGACTTTTAATAAAGAAAAATAGTTCCCACATGAAAAAGAATTTTAATTCTTAGTTTGTAATTCAGCAAAGTAAAATGATTTAATAAGAAACAGGCATATAAACAAAATTCTTTAAAATTCTAATCTACAGAAAAACTACTTTTCAAAAGAGTAATCAAACATCAGGGGTGCCTGGGTGGCTCAGTCGTTAAATGTCTGTCTTTGGCTCAGATCATGATCCCAGCTCAGCGGGAAGCCTGATTCTCCTTCTCCCACTCCCCTGCTTGTGTTCCCTCTCTCACTGTGTCTCTTTCTGTCAAATAAATAAAATCTTAAAAAAAAAAGTAATCAAACAATAGTTCTTTGCAGTTAAATTTTAATGAAAACACAGGGCTTCTTAAGCTGTGTTTTTCTTAAGTTTCAAAATGCAACTATCAGGACACAGCCCTAACAGTCTAACTTATGTTAAAACTTTGGGAAGGGACAGTCTTACCAAGAAATGTATTATGGTAGGGGTGCCTGGGTGGCTTAGTCGGTTAAGCATCCAGTATTTCAGCTCAGGTCGTGATCTCGCGGTTGTGGGATCAAACCCCCGGCTCTCCGCTGAGCTTGGAGTCTGCTTGAGATTCTCTTTCCCTCTCCCTCTACCCCTCACCCCACTTGCTCGCAAGAGCTCATGCTCTCGCTCTCTCACTAAAATAAATAAATCTTTAAAAAAAAAATGTATTAAGCTAAATCTAATCCTTAGGAAAGATAAGACAAACACATATTGAGGGAAATTATCCAAAATAACTGGCCGGTAATACGTGAAACTACCAAGGCCATGAAAGTCAAGGAAAGATCGAAAAATCCTTTGAAAACAGATTAGAAGTCTCAACAATAAAGTGCAACATATAATTCTGAGAACTAGATAGCATTAATGTATCATTCTTAGTTTCCTGAATTTGGTGGTTGTATTGAAGAGACTGTCCTTGTAGAAAATACACAATGGTGCTGAGGCACAACATTGGAAATCATTTCAGGAAAAATGTACTGTACTTGCAATTTTCCTGCAAGTTTCAAAATTTCTTTTAAATTTTAAAACAGGGAGGGAAGGAACACAAGAAGGTTATTCGTAAGCTACATTTAGTTTCTCACTTTCCAAATTCTAGTTCACTACTGGAAGGTTAACAGCAATTTATAGGTACAAAAATTTAATTTAATGCTTCCAAGATTTAAAACACGCTAATTCCCTGCCCAACACTACAAACTGGACTTTGTCAGTATAGGCTTTTATGTTGCCAAGTAGGGCTAGTACAGAGACCTTCCTCATATGGAATCTCCAAAACCCCATTCATAATTCTCTTTAATTGCTCAAATTGCTTTGAGCAATAGTTATTAAGCACCTGTACAAAAAACTGGGTGCTATGTTCTGAATTCATTGAGAAGAGACGTGCATCCTGTTCACTTCATTTAAAATATTTACTGAAAAGCCATGTGCCGTGCACTGTGCTGGAGATTATAACACAAAGATACTCCCTTTGATCTTAAATTACCATAAAATGAAATAATAGTGTCAAAAAATGCTTCTTCCTAAAGAAAAACAAAAATACCCCAAAACTTATTTGTTGAAAAGATCATTGTCTCCCTGGATCCTCACCGAGCCAAAAAAAATTCTTTATTTCTCTCTGCCCAATTTAAAAGGTTGTTAAATAAATTCTTAACACCAAATAAAATTTTAAACTATAAACAACAGTAAAAATTCTCACAAATAGATTAAATAAACTGTTCTTCAATGTCTAAGCCTGGACACCTACGACTAATCTGGTATGAACAGAGAAGAACTCTGATATGCTTTCAACTTGAGGAGCCCTTATGGTAGGATTAGGCCTGGGAATATTTCTGGGCCCACAAGTCTCCACATTCAGCCCAATCTCCTATAATCCTGCACTTAAGAAGGCTGACATAAAGGCAGAGAGAAATTGATGCGCTTCAAGCAAAAGCCTCAAAGACTACAAAAATTTTAGCTTAGATTAAAATAAAGAGATAACGAAAACTTCAGAACAGGGCCCCTACATGTGCCAAGATGCTTCATCCTATACTTAAACCAAAAATTTAGGATGCCACAAGAAAAATATAGCTGGACGACTAAAAAAATAGAATTACCTATGTGAAACGTTAAAAAAAAAAAAAAAAAAGATACGTAAGTATTTTCTGGAAATAATGTCTGACAATATTTTCCAGACATTAAACTGGAATTCTCTACGTAGCCATAATCACTCCAACACAAGTTACATTATTCTTAGATTTGTTTTAGCTTTTTCCTCTCAGCAGTGGAACAAAACATTGTATATACTCAGTATAATGTTCAGTCTTGGCATCAACCACTTCTTCCTGTGGTATACACGTCAGCTTTACCTGGAATTCTATAAACAATTTAATTGCAGGATCTTTCCTCTCATAAGTAAATACAAGAGATTAAAAACATACAAATATCTCAAGTGAAGGATTTGGATTATCAACTTATTCAAGAGAAAAAAAAAACTACTAAAATCTAGGCCTAAACTCCTAGTCCTGAAATTAGCATCGTGTAGGTCTTCCCCTTACAAAACAGTATTCTTGTTAACTATTATCAACAAATTCTTAAATTACTGCAATAACTGTAAGTGATTTCAGAATTTTACATTTATAACATGAGCAAAATCTTACCATAGCTAGAAAACTAGTGGAGGAGAAAAACTGAGAAACTTCTTAGAGGGAAAATATTGTTACCACTACATACAGCGTTAGTAGATTTTAACAAGTTTCTTCCTTAGAAGAGTTTGTTGAAAGAAATATTCTTTAAAGTGTATGATAATTATGGGTTCATCTTCCCCTATAAAAGTATCACTAAAATAGATCGATGTTTAGGGTAGTACCTCTAAAGAGTCACATTGCTTTGCACTGTCGCTATTATCACCACGAGGTGCGATTTGTGTGTCATTTAAATTCCTCACCAGAAGTGATTTTTTAAAAACCGTCTCGGGGAAGATTTCCCTTTCTCCCTTAAGTTCTCCTTCAATATGAAGAATATTAATCTCTATTAGACAGTAAATATCAAAACAGATTTCTGTATTTATTCATCTGTATCACTAAATAAACTGCACTTACACGGTTTCCTAGCATCTGGCACAATGCCTATTCAATTAATTCTGTGCACGTACCGAAGTACTCTAGATTTAAGGATAACAAGAACAGATCATGGTAACATGCTGGTCCTTGAAAAATCATTTTTCTTCAAATGTTTAGTGTAATGGCACCGATATTACGGAGGTACCAATAAGTGATTCCCAAAATAATTCTACGCAGTTAGAATCGCCGTAAATTTAAAAGTAATCTAATAATTACCATTTTATTATAACTCATTACGTAACAAATTATCGTTACGAAAACACTATTTTTAAAGACAGTGCGTAAAAGAGCCATATGCCACTGCGACCTAAGCAGGACACCAGATACCAAGAGAACAACTCCACGCGAAAGCGAAATCTTGCAGCCCCCACCCCCCCACGTCTACAGTGCCCAAGTCCATGCAATCTCTGCTTTTACATTTCGCCCAAGACACACCCCTAACAACCTCAAGGTGAGCGAGCCCAGCTGTGCCTCCTCCTTCCCCACCTCTGTACTATCTAAGCTTCCCAATCCTCCATTAGACCCCGAAGTCGCCTCCGGTTCCTGGCCAGGGAGAGCCACAAACAGGCGGCGACTCGGCGGCCCTCGTGGCGGAGCTCCGCGCTCGTCCGCCCCACGCCAGCTCCCGCCCAGCTTCCCCTTCGGCCGTCCCTCTTCCCACCCCCAACGGTCCTCGGCCCCGGTCTCACCTCTCCACCCACTCCCGCAGGAAGCGCATTTCCTCGGTGTGCAGAACGCTCGGATCCTGCTTACACATTTTCACGAAGGCCCGAAGCTCGCTCACTTTGCGGGGGTCCATGGTCCAGAGGCGGTGAAAGGCGGCAGGCGCGGCTGAGGTTGCGGCCCGATTCCAAGCCCGGGTACTAGCTCAGCGTGATCGTGTGGAAGGGGGCGGCTGCCGCGAGGCAGAACAGACTAGAACCTCCCCGGCTGCTGGCTCCTCCTACCCAACGGTCTCGTGACCCCGGGTCCTACGCCCGTTCATGCCTACTCCCTCCGCCTCTGCCCCTGCGCACTTCCTAGAACCTTCTAGAAGTGTGGCTGTTCACGCTGTTGCCTGCCTCTCTACGCATGCATTCTTGTATTCTAAATCCGAGCAAGTTCTCTGAATCAATCCCCCCACATGGTGCTTTCAAGGAGACGGGAAATATCAGCCCCTGCAGGGAATCATTTAGTTTCAGACATTCTCTTCGTGGGGGCATTAAGTGGAGCACGACGGCAGGACAGCAAACGGGCGCTCCCGCAAGGACGTCAGTCACAGCTCTGGGCGTGACGTCAGCGTTCAGCGCCGCGATGGAAGGAAAGCCCGCCGAGCGGCGCTGGCCGGAAGGGGAGGGGCGCTTGGCCTGGTTTCCTGGCGACGCAATTCTGCGGACGGCCAGTTCTCCGGCTGCTTTTCTCTTTTCCGTTCTGCCGCGTGAGCGAGGCCGTCATGCTTTGGTTACTCTCAGCAACTAAGCTGGTTCCCGCCGTAGCAAGCGCCCGCTGCCTCTCAGGTTAGATTCATCTCCCACGGTGTCCCCTCCGGGGCTTGCTCTCTGAGAAACCTGAGGCGCCCCAGAGGGATCCAAGTTGGTCTCAGGCGATCTCTGGTTCGGCGGACCCTTCTCCTGCTGGGGCCTCCACTCCCAAATCCTTTGTGCGCTCCTCGGATTTTTCTTCTTTACCTGCTGCTTCTGGAAAAGGGTGGGCCCTGTGTTCTCCCTACCGTTGAGGTATTCTGGGAAGCCGGAATGACTGCAGAGAGAAAAGTGTGTGTCATCTCCCAGAGGGGCTGTCTTCAAAGTTCCTCGGACTCCTAGAAGTTGTGTCAGTTTTCACTTGCGTAAATAACGAAGTGTCTCAAATCAAGTAGCTCGTGTTTCTGTTAGGTTGCCATAAAATCCCGTTTTCGTGTTTTCAAAGAGTTGACTTGACAGCTGGCTCCAGCATGTACAAGAAACATGTTTAGTAACACAAATCCTTTGAGCGGTTCCTCTCGGAATGGTTGGAAATACTCCCGGGGCTTTTTAATGTCTGAAAGCCTTGTTCGTAAAGGCAAGATGAAGGAATCCAGGAATAATGACCGCTCTTATAGGGTGTACTTATCGCGAACAGTTAATCTGATGAACATAAACCTCGATCAGTGAAAGCTGAATCAACTACTTTGCGGGCGGATCTGCCATTGAATCATATTTCAGGGGTTTTGGCCAGTAGGTGAACGATGTGTGAACCAGAGCACATGCTTGGCGTGTATTTCTTTCTTTTTTTATAAAGATTTTACTTATTTGACAGAGAGAGACACAGCGAGAGAGGGAACACAGGCAGGGAGAGTGGGAGAGGGAGAAGCAGGCTTCCCACGGAGCAGGGAGCCCGACGCTGGGCTCGATCCCAGGACCCTGGGATCATGACTTGAGCCGGAGACAGACGCTTAAGGACTGAGCCACCCAGGCGCCCCTTGGCGTGTATTTCTTACATTGATCTACTTTAATGAAAGTGGGATGGTAATTATAAGATTTTTTTCCTTAAAAAAATAAAAACCACTGTCCAGTGCACAGAATTTGCTCTTTGATTCTAATAGTTAAGTTGCAGAAAGTTCTTCTCCATAGGAGTAGATGAATAGATACGTAGTCTTTTTTTTTTTTTTTTTTTAAAGATTTTATTTATTTATTTGATGGAGAGAGAATGAGAGAGAGAGCACATGAGAGGGGGGAGGGTCAGAGGGAGAAGCAGGCTCCCTGCCGAGCAGGGAGCCCGATGCGGGACTCGATCCAGGGACTCCAGGATCATGACCTGAGCCGAAGGCAGTCGCTTAACCAACTGAGCCACCCAGGCGCCCCTAGATACGTAGTCTTAATCACAGAAGCCACAACCTATGATTTAGAGCCGGAACCATCTTTTGCTTGTGACTCTTTTTTTTTTTAACTGAGGCTTTGTGTAAAACCTTATTAATGAAAGTGTGTGTGTGGTTTTTTTTAAGATTTTATTTATTAGAGAGAGCAAAGCAGGGGGAGCAGCAGAGGGAGATGGAGAAGCATGCTACCTGCTGTGCATGGAGCCCAATATGGGGCTCAATCCCAGGACCCTGCGATCATGACCTGAGCCGCCCAGGCGCCCCATGGAAGGTTAACACTAGACATTGGATTATACATGCCAAGATCTTTGAAAAATATATTTGTTATGCTTCATTTTGCCTTAAAGCAATAAGTAAATTTAACCATTTCCTAACATTAACACCATGATATATATATTGGTGTTTTGAATGGATGATCTCCTTGGATCTTCACAAGTCCAATAAGTTAGGGCAGTTACCCTCATTTTACTGAACTGAAACCAACACAGGATCACAAGTTGCAAGTCAGCAGTTTTAGTTGTATAATTGCTGTCTACTGCTTTTTCTGTTATACCACCAATAGGTCTTAACTCTGGCTTATTAGAGTCCTTTTGGAACTTTTTATTGAGCCAAAAAGAATATTCTCTTCATTCAATAACTTTAGTAGTCACTGTGGATGAATCTCCACTTCCCTGGAGTTGCTCACTGTCATGTCAGGGTGATAGACAAGCAATAGATAAATGACAGTATAGCAATAGATTCTAAGAGTCTTGACTCAAGTGGCATAGGGGCTCAAGAAAGGCAGTAATGGGGGCGCCTGGGTGGCTCAGTCGTTAAGCGTCTGCCTTCGGCTCAGGTCATGATCCCAGGGTCCTGGGATCGAGCCCCGCATCGGGCTCCCTGCTCGGCGGGAAGCCTGCTTCTCCCTCTCCCACTCCCCCTGCTTGTGTTCCCTCTTGCTGTGTCTCTCTGTCAAATAAATAAATAAAATATTTAAAAAAAAAAAAGGCAGTAATGGGTTGTAAAAAATGTCATTTGGGGATTTTACTAAGTTTCAGAGTTTGAAAATTTTATTCTCTTGATATGCTCATAAATAGAACTTTGCATGTCTGTGGTGCTCTTGGTTGCCATTCTTTAGAAAGGCTCTGTAGTACAGAGTATTGAGTACAATAGGAAACTTTCTCATCTGTGAGAGTTATGCAATCCTAAAGTGAAAACATTGACTAAAGAATAAGTAATTTTTTAAAAGCCTGTTTGCAGTTAATTCATTCAACAAACATTGAGCACCACATGTGAGCATGGAGCATGGTTTCTACCATCGTGGTAGACAAAGAAGCAAGTAATTGTAATATAGCATACTAAATTTAGTAACAGTGATGGGGAAAAAGAAAAAGTGATAGATGTTTCCTGGCAGCAGGGAGAGGCCGAGAGGAAATGTGGGCATGCCCTTAAACATTAGGAGACATTTGAGACTTGAAAAAGGCTTTTATCAAGCAGACTAGAGTAACAGAGTCATTCTGCCAAAGGGAGCATATGCAAAGGCATGGAACAAAGCTTTTCAATCCTCAGTAAGCCTGGAGGAGCTTTTTAGAAATATGTTTGTAGGCATGTAGTAGGTGTTACACCAAAATGGTTCTGTGGTCAGATAAGTTTGGGGAGTGCTGCATTTCATCATGTCCATAATAGACTAATTCTAAGTCTCCAAAAAAAAAGGTATTTGGCAGTAATTTGCAAACTGTATTTGACCATGAGGCCCTTTTTCTGTGGTGAACTGGTATCCCTTGGAACACATTTTGGAAAAATTTGGGCTCAAGCATAAGGTGTAGGAAGAGGTGATTAAAAAACCAAGTTAGGGGGCGCCTGGGTGGCTCAGTCATTAAGCGTCTGCCTTCGGCTCAAGTCATGATCGCAGGGTCCTAGGATTGAGCCCCTCATCGGGCTCCCTGCTCCACGAGAAGCCTGCTTCTCCCTCTCACACTCCTCCTGCTTGTCTTCCCTCTCTTGCTGTGTCTCTGTCAAATAAATAAAATTAAAAAAAAAAGAAAAGAAAAGAAAAACAAGAAGAAAAGCTGGTGGCTGGCTCATTAAAGGTCTTGTACGTTCCCATTCCTCTAGGCAGTGGGAAAGCATTGGATAATTTTAAGCTATTGGGTAAGATTAAATCTGAATTTTTAGTTATCTGTTAAGAGTGGAAAAATGGACTGGAGGGCATGTTGTTGCATTCTTAAATTTTCAGAGACACTGGGTTTTGGTTTTGTTGTTGGAAAATTGGGGTTTTTTTTCAACTCTGAGTAGTCCCAGATACATGACAGATAAACTTTACTAAAACACATTTTATAAAAGTAGCATTTAAAATATTCTAAGCTGGGGCACCTGGGTGGCTCAGTTGGTTAAGCATCTGCCTTCAGCTCAGGTCATGATCCCAGGGTCTTTTTTTAAGATTTTTATTCATTTATTTGAGAGAGAGAGCTTGAGCAGGGGGAGACGGAGTAGCACACTCCCCGCTGAGAAGGGAGCGGGAGATCATGACCTGAGCCGAAGGCAGACGCTTAACTGACTGAGCTACCCAGGTGCCCCCTGAAAATAAGTTAATGCAAATCGTTAGCAGTCCCTCCTATAGACTCCACCGACCAACTAAAAATCAAACAAAATTAAGCAAAAGCTCACATTTTACTATAGCAGTCATTTAAAGAGTAGTTGTTACTATCTTTTGTGGTTTCCAGATTTGTTACATTGCTATATGCCACTGAACTGTATCTTGCCAAAGGTGATTGGGTTTTAGTTTTGCTAGATTATTTGCTCTCATCTTTTAGTCACATTAAAATGTGCAGTCATTACATTTCTAAGAGATAACAGATTAGCGATCTATTGATCATATTATTCTAAAAAAAAAAATTTAATGGCGAGGAATATGCAGAATGCAAGTCAATCCAAGAAATTCTTTTCAGTCGATAAATTCAGGAATCTCAAATGTAGCACATCCAAAACTTAACACCTACATTCCTATTTCAGATAATGGCATATCCCTTCTCTCAGTTGCTAAAGCGAAAAACCTTGACTCCTATCATACCCAGTATGCAGCCTGTCAGTAAATTCTGCTTGGCCCTGCCTTTAGACTATATCCAGAATGTGATCACTCTTCACCACCCCTACTTCTACCACTCTGGACCAAGCTATTACAGTGTCTTGTCTGGATTCTAGCAGCAGCCTGATTTCCCTGCTTCTACACCTGCTTACTTTGAGTCTTTTCTTAATGACAACAGCCAGGGGGGCCTGCATGGCTCAGTGGGTTGAGTATCCAATTCTTGATCTTGGCTCAGGTCATGATGTCAAGGTCGTGAGATAGAGTCCTATGTCAGACTCTTCACTTGGCAGGGAGTCAGCTTGAGACTCCCTCTCCCTCTGCCCACCCTACTAAAATAAATCATTTAAAACAAACAAACAAAAAACGATAACAGCCAGAGTGGGCCTGTTTGAATATTATCAGATTATGACACTCTTCTGCTCAGAGCCTCAGTGGCTTCCTGTCCCACCTATAATAACAGAGTCCATACTGTGATCTCGCAGTCCCTGCATAATCTGACCTCCTGTTACGTTTCTAACTTCATCTGCTTGTTCTCTTAATTGTTCACAATGAACTCCTCTGTGAGCCTCGGACACACCTTACACATCTAGCCTTAGAGACATTTCACTTGCTGTTCCTTCTGGAATACTCTTTCACCTCATATCCACATGGTTAACTCCTTTACTTTCTTTACATCTTTACTCAGATGTTAACCATCATTTTTCTCTGGCTACCTTAACTACAATTTCAACCCTTGTATTCCAAAACTTCTGTCCCCTTTTATTTTGTTTTCTTTAGCACCCATGACTAACATTATATTTTACTTAGTATTTGTTTATTGTCTTTGCCCAGTTTGTAAGCTCTGTGACAGCTAAGATTTTTGGTGTTCGTTCATTACTGTATCCCAAGTACCTGACAAATAGTAGGTACTCAAAAAATACCATTGAATGAATGAATGAATAAAAATCATAGGCTGAAAAGTAATATATTTTGAAAATAAAATAATTAGAAGAAGCTAAGAAGTAATTATGTTGAAATTAAATTCATTTAAAATAAGCAAATGTCTGCATTTAGCTAAGACCATTTGCTCAATGTCTGATGTATCTGTAACTAATTTTTCTTCCATCATAACCCTAAATTATATTGGCTAAAGTTGGTGTTTTAGAGTAATGTCTTTGTAGATCCTGTGTACATAGAATATAGTAAAAAAGAAAATAGAAAATTTCCTGTCTGGAGTGATTCACTGTAGGCATACCATACATGAAATAGCCACATTGCTCTGAGAAATCCAGGATAAGTCTAGTTTTCTTTTTTAATTGTGGTAAAATACACATAACATAAAATTTACCATGTTAATCATTTTTAAATATACTTTGTGAAACAGATTTCTAGAACTTCTTCATTTTGGAATCTAAAAGTAGACCCATTAACACCTCTCCCTCCCTTGTCCTGGTAACCACAATTCTATTTTGTTTTTATCAATTTCTTATCTCATGTGAGTAGAATCATAAGGATTCGTCTTTATGACTGGCTTATTTCATTTATCATAATGTTTCAGAGTTTACCCATGTAGCATGTAACAGGATTTCCTTTTTAAGGCTGATAATATTTCACCATATGTATGTTTATTCATCCATTGATTGGTATTTGGGTTGCTTCTACCTCTTGGCTATTGTGAATAAGTTCTGTAAACATGGGGGTGCAAATATAATTCTGGCTATTTTTAACTTAAAATATTTTATGCTTTAATTTTTATTTATAATGTATTTATGTGTCAAATGCTCTGCCTCTATTGGAAAAATTTCATTTCATGAATAATCATATAGTCTAAACCTGTGTATCTTAATAAGTTTTTAGCTCTTAATGCTATACACATTTCAGAAGTTTGCACAGTAGTTTCAAATAGATAAAAGGAATGAAATAGATCATAAGCTCTGCTAAAGAAAAACTCTATGATTTGTAAATGTTTAGCTCAAAAAAAAGTAAAATGGTATTTGCTGTTTTCCAAATTCTTAACATCACTGTCGCCACAAACTCATCTTTTTCTGACATACCTAATCCAAACAACCTTTGACCAAATGTCCACAATGCTGCTAAACGTGTTAAAACATAATCTTAGTATAGTATTAAACAAATGTTATCTACAGAACTCTGATTAACCAAAACACACAAAGAGTCATGTTCAATTGTTATATGAACATAATGTGTCTGAAGAGTCAATTTAATGATTCCTTTTGGTTGACTTCTTCTGCACCTCTTTACGCTTCTTTTTTTTTCTCTTACCACCTTCTTTGAATCCTGCTGAGAAAATAGAGGGATTCCAGTTGCTGGTGACCCAAGGTATATCTTGCTCATCATTATCCACAAAAGTATATTGAGTTACATGTTTGGGGCTGTAGGACTTTGGTGAATAATTGCTGAATAACTTTCTTCTCCAACTGCATTCTTCTGCAAAGCCCTCTTCATCTGCCAAACCATTTATAAGGAAGGACTTCAACTCATCATCATCGTCAACTTCTTCTCTTTCTTGATCATTCTCAGTAATTCTCTGTGTATTTGTATTTCTGCTATTACCAATCTTACCTAAAGCTGTAACAGATATGTAGTTGTTCATCCCACTATCATCAAATGCCAGGGAGGAGGATGAATTAAGGCCCTCGTGGCCCAGTGAACCATATGGTGTATATCCTGTATCATATGAAGAGAATCTTTCAAAAACCGGGTATTTACTGGAGGTTCCAAAAAAGGATCTTGTACCTCTGCTTCCATGGGAGCTTTTTGGACTATTTAAAAGGTCCTCAAGTGAGTCTTCAAAGAAATGAAATGAAAATGGGTCCCTTTCACCAAAAATTTCTCTAAAGACATCATCTGGCTTACGGAATGTGAAGCCATATTCAAAAGAATCATCAAAATGACTGCTGCCTCTACCATTTAATCCTTCTTGGCCATATTTATCATAAATGTCCCGTTTTTCATTATTTGATAATACCTCATATGCCTCAGCTACTTCTTTGAATTTTCTCTCAGCTTCTTCTTTATTTTCTGGATTTTTATCAGGGTGCCATTTAAGTGCCACTTTATGATAAGCCTTTTTAATATCCTCAGGTGAAGCATATCTCTGCACTCCTAGAACTTCATAGTAATCCACCATGTTTTAACAGATTGTTGAAAAGGGGTTTTATGGGTCTGAGTAGTGAGAACCGTAGTTTCCTCTCAGCTCAAGCTCTCCTGGCGGTGGTGGTAGAGGCAGTAACCGCAAATAGGCACATTTTTACATTGAAGACAATGTTAGACACTGCTAGGAGACATTAGGACACTGATTATGTGGCAAGTAGAGTTACAAGCTTATGTCAGAGAGGTTTGCATTATGGTGTCATTCTGGGGTTGGGATAGGGACTAGACCTTCCAAATAGAGCTAGTCTAGAGTCATACCAGACCATCCTCTGGACTGTTTCTCCTATATTCTCCTGGAAGCTTCAAACAATGCCTCATAAACTAGTGGGACCTGTTGTTGATGTCCACAGCATGCCCCTTGCATAATATGACCTCTAGGCTACTGAGCCTTAATAACTTATTTCCCAGTTCGGTGTCTCGTTTTGAAAAATGAAATCGTGAACTACATGGAAAAGTATTCAAGTAGATGACATTTTTGTTTATTTGCGACAAGAGGCAATTCAATAGGAAATACAACTCGATTACAGTATAATAAGGACTGATGGGGGAAGCCCTGGATGTTAAGCAATCATGAGAGACACCTAGCGCAGACTTGGGGTGTTTCAGGGAAGGCTTCCTGAAGTAGCATAATACACAAGCTTTCTGCATGCCAGTATTGAATGATTTGAGATGACAGTGTCTACCCACTTCCAAGTTTACTACTTTAAAACATGTAGTTAGGGGCACCTGGGTGGCTCAGTTGGTTAAGCCACTGCCTTCGGCTCAGGTCATAATCCTGGAGTCCCGGGATCGAGTCCCTCATCGGGCTCCCTGCTCGGCGGGGAGCCTGCTTCTCCCTCTGACCCTCCCCCCTCTCATGTGCTTTCTCTCTCTCATTCTCTCTTTCTCAAATAAATAAATAAATAAAATCTTTAAAAAAAAATAAAACATGTAGTTAAAGATTTTGAAACTTATATGCTTACTTGTTCAGTATATAATTATTGAGTGCCTACTTTGTGTGAGACAGTTTTAACCACTGATGTTAATAGTATTAAACAAGAAATTCTGATTTTCATGGTTTACATTATAACGGAATATAAATAATAAAAAAGAAAACAAAATAATGTGATATGTGCTCCCCCTCAAAAAAAAAAACAAAAAACGGTAGTGTGATTGGGGCAGAGAGCTACTTCAGATTGGTTTTCAGTTCTCTACAGTATACCTGTCTACATGTATGTATGAATGGCATACACATGATGCCACTGAAAATAATAATAATGATAATATTGAACATTATTTGAGCACCATCTTTAGGTCAAATACTATACCAAGTGACTTACACACAGTATCTCGTGTAATTGTTAATAGCATTCCAGGAAAATAAATATTTTGTGCCCATAAGAAACCTGAGGTTCTTAAAGATAAATTTGTCTAAGGCTACCTAGCTTATTAGTGAAAAATCTGATATTTGAACTTGAATCTATCTGATTCTAAATTCTATATTGCACTTCCTGGACCAGGATTTAAGAGTTCAGGTTTTAGACATTCTACAAATATGTATTAAGAACCCGTAATACAGATAGGAGTTAGAAAACAGAAAATTCCGCTCTCGAGGAATTTATATAAGAAACACTGAAAAACTAACTTCAATAGAGTGTTAAGATATTACACAAGGATTTGCTTCTAATTATTCTCCCTCCCTTGATTTCTCACCCGTTCTAGCTGCTGTGCCATTATCTCTGATCTCTTGGCAATTGAACTTCTCAAAATTATTGTCTCTGCTTGATGTTTCTGCTTTCTTCCATCCTATTTTGTTGGCACACTCCAATCTGGCTTCTAAGACTACTCAGTCTTAACGGAGATGTAATTGACATATATGTTTAAGGTGTACAATATAATGATTTGATATATGTATACATTGTAAAATGATTACCAAAAAAAGTTTAGTTATCATCCATTACTTCACACAGTTACATTTTTTTTTCTTGTGATAAGAACTTTTTTTTCAAGTAAACTCTGTGCCCAAAACGTGGGGCTTGAACTCACGACCCTGAGATCAAGAGTCTCATGCTCTACTGATGGAGCCAGCCAGGTACCCCATTTTTCTTGTGATGAGAACTTTGAAGATCTTCGTTTTTTAGCAATTTTCAAATATGCAATGAAGACTCGTTAGCTATGGTCACTATGTTGTACATTACATCCCCCAGAACTTTATAACTGGAAGTTTGTACCTTTTGACCACCTTTACCCATTTTGGCTTCTATCTTTTATATTCTACTAAAACTGTTCTTGTCCAGGTCTCCAGTGACTTCTATGTTGCCAAATCCAGTAGATTTCCTTTTGGCCTCCTTGTATTTAGCAGCACTTGACACGGGTGAGCACTTCCCTCTATTAAGACACTTGTTTAACTTCCTAAATTTTATTCTCACACTAAAATGTAACTAAACTTGATCTACACAGTCTTGGTAGGTAATATCCAGTCCCACGGCTTTAGATACCACCTATGTGCTTATGAAATCTTAATTTATATATCTAGCCTGTTATTTTACCCCCTGAACTTCAGATTGACTATTTGTACTCTTTTGGAATATCCAATAAGTATCTCAGTCTTTGCCATTTCATTTAATGGTGTAATCATTGAAAGCCAATCGTTCAAGCCAAAAAACCTGAGACAAGCCAAAAAACCTGAGAATCATCTTAATTTCTTTCTTCTTTACTCTGCATCTAATCAAAAGGCAGACTGGTTGACTTTTGACCTTAAAAATATATCCCAATCTAATCACTGGGAAATAAAGTCAAATAACAAATAATCCCTGCCTTCCAAAAGTTTATAATAGACTGGCAAACTAATTAGGAATTATGTGCAGTGTCATAAGTATTAAAACAGAATTAAGCATGAGAGCATTGAGGAGGGGCATTTGCATCAGAATCAGCAAGGATGGGGAATTATAAGAGAAGGCATCCTAGAGTAAGTGATGTTTGAGCTCACAGAAGCAGGCAAAAGCCATTTTAGACAAGAAAACTATTTTCAAAGGTAAATACTGTTACAGTACAGACTAATTAGCTGGGGCTCTTCAAGTGTGGCTGCAGTATTGTTTTTTTGAGGATTATTAGGCAGAGGAATGGATAGGAGCCAGATGATGAAGGGTGCTAAGCTAGGGTTTAAAGTTCATTCTGAAAGATAGAAAATTCTAGATATACAGTGTTTGTTTGAGAAGCTGGAAAGTTAAGGATAGATCCTGAATTTAAACCTGAGTTGGCTGACAGTATCTTTGAGGACATTGAGGCAAAGGACTAGAGGGATACTTTGGAAATAGTATAGCTATAGAGGATGAATTAAAGAAGAAGGACAAGATCCAAGAAAGGTGGGCGCCTGGGTGGCTCAGTTGGTTAAGCGACTGCCTTCGGCTCAGGTCATGATCCTGGAGTCCCGGGATCGAGTCCCACATGGGGCTCCCTGCTCGGCAGGGTGTCTGCTTCTCCCTCAGACCCTCCCCCTCTCATGTGCTCTCTTTCTCATTCTCTCTCTCAAATAAATAAATAAATAAATAAAAGATCCAAGAAAGGCACACCAGTTTGGAGACATAGTAGTCCAGGTGAATTGAGGAGGGTCTATACTAAGGAAATGGCCCTACTTTGAATCGAATTGGATTTTAGAAATAGGACTCAACATTACCAGTTTTGCTACCAACTAATTATGTGACGTTTGGGCAAAAAATCCTGTTTACTTAAATGTAGGTAAAAGTATTGTTTATTTACATCTTTTAGACTTAAGCTTACTGTGCTAGAAGTGGTCCAAAATAGAAGGATTGGGTTTTCTAGTATTAGTTCATTTAAACATAAAAAGAGAGAGAATTGGTTAACTTTTTACATTCAGTTATTTTACTGCCAAACAATAGTGTAGACAATATAGTCCAATGGTTATGGGCTCTATAAATAGATTGTTCAAATCCTAGTTCTGTCTCAGTAATTCTTCATCTTGGGCAAGTTTCTTAACCTTCCTGTGTATCTTTTTTTCTCATCTTTAAATGGGCAGTATTATAGTAACATCTACCTCAAACATACATGGTACTATTTGTTTAAAGAAGGGGATACCAATAAATAGATGTGGTTTCAACAAAAAAGTGCTAATAGTGGTTGTCTCAAGGAAGGGGTACAGGGTAACTTGGGGAAAGGTGTGGGAGGAAGGCTTTTCCCTGTAAATCTCTTCTATATCTTTTTTTTTTTTTTTAAGATTTTATTTATTTATTTGACAGAGAGAGACACAGCGAGAGAGGGAACACAAGCAGGGGGAGTTAGAGAGGGAGAAGCAGGCTTCCTGCTGAGCGGGGAGCCCGATGCGGGGCTCGAACCCAGGACCCCCAGATCATGACCTGAGCCGAAGGCAGACGCTTAACGACTGAGCCACCCAGGCGCCCCTCTTCTATATCTTTTGAATGTTGATCCATATGAACATGTTACCAGTTCAAAAATTAGTTAAAAATTTAGAATTGTACTTACTTCACACAGCTATAAAGATTAAATAAGTTGGGGCGCCTGGGTGGCTCAGTTGGTTAAGCGACTGCCTTCGGCTCAGGTCATGATCCTGGAGTCCCGGGATCGAGTCCCGCATCGGGCTCCCTGCTCGGCGGGGAGTCTGCTTCTCCTTCTGACCCTCCCCCCTCTCATGTGCTCTCTCTCTCTCTCTCTCTCTCATTCTCTCTCTTTCAAATAAATCAATAAAATCTTAAAAAAAAAGATTAAATAAGTTAATACGTGTAGAGTACTTAGAATACTTTCTGCAATATAATAAACAGTAAATATTAGCTGTTACCATGATCATTATTATCAATGATGCTGGGATTTGGAAGTATTAAATACACTGTGCCTCTACTATTTGTTGTAATAAGGAAAAATGGAGCTTTATGCTATATTCTGTGAGCTTTGATTAGGACAAGAGTTTGTGGGGGTGCCTGGGTGGCTCAGTCAGTTAAGCGTCTGCCTTCGGCTCAGATCATGATCCCAGGGGCCTGAGATCGAGACCTGCGTCTGGTTCCCTGCTTAGCAGGGGAGTCTGCTTCTCCCTCTCCCTCTGCCCCTCCGCCTGCTGGTGTGTGCACTCCCTCTCTCTCTCAAATAAATAAAATCTTTTTTTAAAAAGTTTGCTTACAGGTGAAGAAAGCTCACATAGTTCTTTTTGTATTCCTTTTCTTCATAACACTCCAGCCCAGTCACTCCACCAGCACAGTCTTGTACATGGACAACCCAACCCATTATCATCTCCTTGTGCCTTCTGTACTTTCAAGAAACAGAAATATCAAGGATCAAATAACTAAAAACCAAAGTGGGCCAAAAGCTACTATGCGTTGGGGAAGGTCATTTCTGCAGGTGTTTGCAAGTAATACCGTAGGGAATCTGATGTTTGGTTGAGGCAGGGGTTGTTCTCAGGATCCCATTATGCTCTTAAAAATTATTGAGCATCCTCACATTCCCTCCTCCTCCGAACTAGAGCTTCCCTCAGTACAGAGAGAGCATTTTAGTGCAGTGTTTTCCAGTGGCAAGTTGTAATCTTAGTAGGTCATGGTATTAGTTTCCTGAGGTTGCCATAACAAATCACCACAAACATGGTGGCTTAAAATAATAGAATTCTCTCATAGCTCTGGAGGCCAGAGTTCTGAAATCAGGTGTCAGCAGGGCTGTATTCCTTCCAAAGGCTCTAGGAAAGAATCTGTTCTTTACCTCTTCAGCTTCTGGTGGCTGTAGGTGTTCTTTGGCTTGTGGCCGCATCACTCTAATCTCTGCCTCCATGGTCCCATTACTTCCTCCTCTTCTGTTTTCTCGTCTGTCTGAAATCTCTCTCTACATTTCTCTTATAAGAGCACTTGTCATTGAATTGAGGACCTACCCAGGTGGTAAAGAATGATCTCCTCATTTCAAAATCCTTAATTACATCTGCAAAGGTACCTTTTCCAAGTAAATTAACAGGTTCTGGGGATTAAGACGTGGACATATCTTTTGGGGGCCACCATTCAAGAAATTGCAGTAATAAAATCATTGTAGTGTACTGAGAAACTTTTTAATGGAATAGGGCAGACAAATATCAGTCATAGAAAGAATAATATTTAGTGAAATTTTTCTTAAAGATTTTATGTATGTATTTGAGAGAGAGAGAGAGTGCGGGGAGAAACAGAGGGAGAGGGACAAACAGACTCCGCGCCAAGCATGGAGCTCGACGCAGGGCTCTATCCCATGACCCCAAGATCACGACCTGAGCTGAAATCAAGAGTCAGACACTCAGCTGACTGAGCCACCCAGGCGCCCCTAGTGAAATTTTTATATATATCATATTTATATGTCTGTGTATACTAGGTTACCATGTAAAATATATTTCTTACTGTGGATCTTGGTTTTAAAAGGTTGAAATCCACTATCTACTATAACTGCATTATTTCACAGGTAAAGAAATAGTGTAAAGGAATTATGTAACATGTCAAGATCACATAGATCATAGAATTGGCACTTTTTTCTACTATACCATTGCTAGCTTTAACTCTTTGTCTTAGATTGCCTTTCAGAGTGCATACTTATTTCCTTCATTTGTCTCTAAACTCATCTTTTTTTACTTATTATGAAAATATCCAAATATCAAAATATATAATGGACTCCCATGTACCCATCACCCAGCTTCAACAGTTACCAACTCATGGCCAGTCTTTCATCCAAAACCCTTTTCATCCTCTCCCCAATCCACCCCACTCCTGTGTTATTTTGAGACAAATCCCATATTGTATCACTTCATCAGTAAATATTTCAGTTTATATCTCTAAAAGGTAAGGTTCTTCCTTTTTAACATAACCACAGGGGCGCCTCGGTGGCTCAGTCGGTTAAGCATCTGCCTTTGGCTCAGGTCATGATCCTGGGGTCCTGGGATCGAGCCCCACATGGGGCTTTCTGTTCAGTGGGGAGCCTGTTTCTCCCTCTCTGCAGCTCCCCCTGCTTGTATGCGCCCCCCCACTCACAAATAATTTTTAAAAATAACATAACCACAACACTATTATCACACCTTAAAGAAGTAAACATTACTTCCCAAATACCATCAAATATGCAATTATTATCCAGATTTCCAATTTTTTCATAAATGTAATAAACAGTATGAGTGGATACTTGTTTTACAATTTGTTGCTTGAATCTGGATCCATATAAGGTTCACATAATTGATAATAATTTTTAAGATTTTTTTTTTTTAAAGATTTTATTTATTTATTTGAGACAGAGGGAATGAGAGAGAGAGCACATGAGAGGGGGGAGGGTCAGAGGGAGAAGCAGGCTCCCCGCCGAGCAGGGAGCCCGATGCGGGACTCTATCCTGGGACTCCAGGATCATGACCCGAGCCGAAGGCAGTCGCTTAACCAACTGAGCCACCCAGGCGCCCAAGATTTTTTTTTTAATCTACAGATTCCTCCTTCCATCTCTTACCACCCCTACCTGCCATAAAATTTATGTGGAAGAAACAGAGTTGTTTGTCCTGTAGTGTTCCCACGTTAGGACTTTGTTGATTGTGTTCCTATGTTGTCCTCTAGCTAGTTCCTCCATCCTCTGTATTTCTGTAAATCACTTGCCTCATCTTTGTTAAGCTTTCAATGTATATAGACTGGGCATATTTCCTAATACGTATTCTGTACATTTTCTAAAGCTAGATTCCAGGAAATACTTGTTTTTCCTTTTTCTCATTTTTCACTGTTCTTAACTATTTTCTTTTTTTTTTTCTTTAAGATTTTATTTATTTATTTGAGAGAGAGAGAGAATGAGAGCACGAGAGGGAAGAGGGTCAGAGGGAGAAGCAGATCCCCCGCTGAGCCGGGAGCCTGATGTGGGACTCGACTTAACTATTTTCATACTGCCCAGAAACCTTTACCATTTTGTCTTTCTAATCATCCAAGAAGCTATAATTTTTTTCAGTAATCCTCTGTAAATTTAATTCAGAGTTAACATTTAAGACTCCTAACTCACCAAGTGTATACACCTCATTCATACTACATAGTCCCTACAAAAACCTTTAACTTGATCCAGACATCACATCCTCCTGTTGTAGCGATTGTATGTTCATGAGGAGATTGTATAGTACTGACTGTATTGTTGGGATCAACAGAGAACACCTACTGAGCAACAGGGTGGAGGGATAAGAGCAAAGATTTTGGAGTTTAATAAACCTAGGTTTTGGGGGGGCCTGGGTGGCTCAGTCAGTTAAGCATCTGCCTTCAGCTCAGGTCATGTTCCCCGGGTCCTGGGATCAAGCCCCGCATAGGGCTCCCTGCTCAGTGGGGAGTCTGCTTCTCCTCAGCCCCTCCCACTGCTGGTGCGCACTCTGTCCCTCTCTCAAATAAATAAAATCTAAAATAAAAACAACCAGGGCACCTGGGTGGCTCAGATGGTTTAACGTCTGCCTTCGGCTCAGGTCATGATCTCAGGGTCCTGGGATCGAGTCCCGCATCGGGCTCTCTGCTCCTTGGGAGCCTGCTTCTCCCTCTGCCTCTCTCTCTCTGTCTCTAATGAATAAATAAAATTAAAAAAAAAATTTTTTTTTTAAATAAAATAAAATAAAATAAAAACAACCAAAAAAACCCTAGGTTTGAATTCCAGCTTCCCCAGTAATGTGTAACATGGCACAAATTACTTCTTTGAATCCAGTTCCTTGTTTGTAAAAAAGCCATGATGATGGCAGTTAAAATCCTAATTCTGTAATTTGGTATACAAACAAAGCCTTTCACTGTCTGATCCTTACCTTTCTAATCTTTTCATCTTCCTCCAGCAACACTGACCTGAAACTCTTCCCCCCCCCACACACACACAGTGCCTTCTATGCCTTCCCTTTCATAATCTCATTCATAACACCTTCCAGACCCATTTCTCTTTCAATTGACTGATTTTTTAAAAAAGATTTTATCTTTAAGTAATCTCTACACCCAACATGGGGCTCTTACTTAAAACCCAGAGATCAAGTCGCATGCTCTCCCAACTAAGCCAGCCAGATGCCCTTCACTTGAGTAATTCTTACTCAGAGTAGGCATCCCCTGCTTCTACAGTCCCACACCAACACCTTTTGTGTGCTTCTCTGTGTTCCCCAGAGCACTGTGTGCCTATCTTTGTCTTTGTACCCATCCCGCAACATTGTATTAGTCTCTATGCTCTCAAAAAAACCTTGTGAATGAATCCACCATGGTGTTCACCATGTAGTGTTATAGTGTCGTTTTGTTTTACCTCCAGTAGACTGTATATTCTTTAAAGACCACAGCAAAGACCTCCTTATGTCTTTTTCTAGCATGTGTTCCAGTCGCATGTTTAAATCTTGTTGAATGAATGCTAATAACAGTGTTTGTTGTATACCATGATTAAGCATTTTTCAGACATGATTTAATCTAGCTCTAACATTTCCAAGGTTAAATGAGATAGCATGTGCATATTTTCTCATACTTCACATATTCTCAATAAGAATGTTAATTCTCTTTTTCTGAATTTTATTTTTTTTATTTTTTATTTTTATTTTTTTAAAGATTTTACTTATTTATTTGACACAGAGAGAGACAGCAAGAGAGGAAACACAAGCAGGGGCAGTGGGAGAGGGAGAAGCAGGCTTCCTGCCGAGCAGGGAGCCTGATGCGGGGCTCGATCCCAGGACCCTGGGACCATGACCTGAGCCGAAGGCAGACGCCCAACGACTGAGCCACCCAGGTGCCCCTCTTTTTCTGAATTATAGGACACAGCTTCACACTACCTCTGTGAAATACCCTCACTCCTTCCTTGCTTTTGTTTGTTGCCTTCCTTCTGTTCCCATAGCTCCTTATTCATACCGTAGTCATACTCTATGTGTATGTACCTCTGTTATACTGCAGTAGACTGAGGTTGCTAAGGGTAAAAATTATCTCATTTTTGTATTCCTAGGGCCCAACACAGGCCCTGACTGGCACAGAGGAAGGGCCATAAAAATATTGAAGGAGATCCTAACTTGCATTTTTCTAGAGCATCTGTCTGCTGGAGATAGATCAATGTATACATACTGTGAGGACTTTCTGCATAATTGTTCCATTTCACTTTATTTTTCCTTCAGGATGCTTGTCATGTTCTCAGCGAAGGTACTCCCTCCAGCCCATCCCAGAGAGGAGAATTCCAAACCGATACTTAGGCCAGCCCAGCCCCTTTACACACCCACACCTCCTCAGACCAGGTAAGCCCTTTTAACTATAATAACTCTCTCTCTCTTTAGATGCTTTACTTAGAACTGTGCTATCCAATAGAATTTTTTTGATGATGTAAGTGTTCTAGATCTGTGCTGCCCAATACAGTAGCCACCAGCCACAAGTGATTATTGCATACTTACAATGTTGCTAGTACAACTGAAGAACTTAATGTTTTATTTTATTTTATTTTTTTAGGTAACTGAATTTTAAACTTAAAAAGGTACATGTGGCTAATGGTACTGTGTTGATGGCACTATCTAGAGCAATAAATACAATAAGCCTTACAATTCAGAATTATCAATGAAAAGTATGTATTTCAGGATATTTTAAAAGAAAAGTTACATTACTTTCTAAGACATAGTTGCTAGGTCAGTCAAACGATTGAATCCCTGTAAACTGCTATGTTAAAGACATTTTAGAAAACATGTTTTTCTTGGGGCACCCAGCTGGCTCAGTCAGTGGAGCATTAGACTCATGATGTCAGGGTTGTGAGTTCAAGCCCCGTGTTGGGCATGGAGCCTACTTAAAAAAAAGAAACATGTTTTTCTTGAGAGTACTAAATGCTCACTTCATTTAACAAAAATATTGCTAGGTAGATTACATTAGATTTCCAGATTTGATTTTCACAACTTTGAGAGGTGATAACAATGATAAAGAGCAGTTAAGGGGTGAACTGTGGTAAATGAATACCATTCCAAACAGGTAGATAGGGCAAAACCAAATGCTTTATAGAAAAAGCAGTCAGATTTTCAAGGGAAATTAATTGTTGCTTCTGCCATGGGAAGTTAAATCTGTATTTATTATGTAAGTATATAGACTAATAATCTAAATTGCCTTTAGAAATATGTTACTCTTTCACTATCTCCACTCAGTGAATGATACCAGTATGTCTCTCAGTGAGGGCTTCCTTTTGCTGATTCTTCATCAGACTGGAATTCCTGCTGGGAAATCGGCTGAGACTCAGGAAATGCAGCTCACCACTGAAATACACAAGAAATCAGAGTTTTTCAAAGCTGTAAGGTAAGCTTACTAGCATTCCAGTTAGTATTAATTTAAGTATTTCTCTAACCTATCAACCTACCTATAACCTCATTAAAAAAAAAAAAAAGTTGAATTGACATTGAATTTTACCAGCTTTGAAAATTATTGATTTCTCGTGGTGAGATATTTTTACATGATGAGCTGCATTTTCTAGGCCTTGAAACTAGTAACCATATTGTCAAGATGATAGCCTCTATCTAAACTGTTTTCTATGTGTGTTATGTGCATAACTGTATAAAAAATGCTTGTAAATAAATATACATGATACATATTCATAAAGGTATTATGCTCATATCAGCTATGGGGGGGAAAGAGATGTCTGTCTTAATTTTTACTCTTCTGGACATAGGGTTTTAGACATTGGGGTAAGAGGGGTTAGAAGTAGATGGAATTTTAAAACAGAATCATCAGTATTAAAGAAAGCAGGTATACAGTTTTTGCCTTATGTAAGTATCCAAAGTATTAATCAATTGTCTTTCTCTAGGTAGACATGGAAGTGTTAAAATGATTATGGAGTGGAGAAAGAGTAAATTATTGAGAAAAAAATAAAAGGCATGTCATTTTTTTAAAAATAAGTTTCTTTTACAGAGGCAGTCAGTTGGTTAGTTTGGAGTATGAAATTATATCATCTGTTACTTGGTTTTCTTCAGAAAGTTTCATGTTTGGCATAGCTATTTTCCCAGTACTTGTAAGTACTTAAAACTTTTGGGAAATAGCTCAATCTTTTCTCTATTACACGAGATCCATATATATTATAGAAATATTAGAGAATACAAGTAAAAATATTTTTAAAAAAAATTACTCATAATTCCACTGCTCATAGAAAACCACTGTTGAGATTTTGGTATATGTATCTTTCTAGGCTTATTTTTTATATAGAAGTATGTGTGTCTGTGTGTATGTGTGTATACACATGTGTATACTTTGTATACCAATCAGTTATTCCCTAAAAATAAATTCTTAGAAATGAAATTACTGCGTCAGCTCTTTCTGAATTCTGGGGAGCTATTTCCTCTCGATTTTTCCTGGCCATATCCACCCAAGTTTCCTGAAGCAAGAGTAACCTGGAAAATACTGAGCAGAATGGCTCAGAGATAAAGGAATTCTAACTGTGCTACTACTGCTTGAGATGGAAATAAAAAATCAGACTGACTCCCCCCAAGGTGTCCTAGTGATTTCTAAAATTTATTTCCTTAAAGTATGTATGTATTTATTTTTAAGTAATCTCTAGGCCCAACATAGGGCTTGAACTCGCAACCCCAAGGTCAAGAGTCGCATGCTGTACTGCCTGAGCTAGCAAGGCACCCCCCATTTCTTCTTTTTAACATTGCCATCCCGGTGCTAAGGACTGTGTCTGTAGAGACAGAAAATGTCAGTTCATCCTCCTTGATCACACTAATATGCCCACCACTTATCACCCAAGCAGGAAAAAGTGATTCCATGCGGGAAGGCACGTGGCATTCTAAGCTATTCAGTGTGAATCTACTTTTTTTTTTTTTTTAAGATTTTATTTATTTATTTGACAGAGAGAGATAGGGAGAACAGGAACACAAGTAGGGGGAATGGGAGAGAAACAGGCTTTCCACCAAGCAGGGAGCCTGATGCGGGGCTCGATCCCAGGATCCTGGGATCACGACCCAAGCTGAAGGCAGACGCTTAACAACTGAAACACCCAGGTGCCCCATGAATCTACTTTTTATAATATCTGTGCAGATAGATACTTACATAGTTCCTGGACATTGACACAGGAGTAATGCTGTCATTAACAGAACAGCAAGGTGTTCAACTCACATAAACACTGCAACTTACCAGAGAATAGGAAGAACTACTGCCTAATGAAGCATTATTTCCAAGAACTTATATTTCTAACATTGTTACATTCCTGGGCACATTTAATTTTGGAATATGTGATGTAGATTATAGCGCTTTAAGAAAGAGAGTTGGGCTTGTCAGAATGACTTGTCTGACATACCCAGAACCACTTGTTTTTCTTTCAACTACAGTATTGAAGAGATTCATTGGGAGGTATTCAGATTATAGCTGTGTGACCCCACAATTTGAGGGAATGCTTTTACCATTTACCTGTTTGTCCCTTATCATCAAATATAATGGCTGAGGCTATACAGTTACTGTGAAGTATAATATTTAAAGTGATGAAAAGGTTGGTTCTAGAGTGGGTGCTAGATAATAATTCCTGAATCTTCTTCCCTTAGACAATTAGGTCTCCATCTTTCAGTCATAGTTTAGTTGTGGTTCTGCCTTGAGCAAGGGGTGTATTTTTTTTTTTAAGTTTTATTAAAATGGTTGACTTCAATATCTAAAAAATCAAGATTTATTTTGGTGGGGTAAGATTTTTATACTATTTAAAAGATTAAAATATATGTCCAAGAAATGACAGAAATTCCAGGTGGTCTGAATCTGCCTAGACCACTGGGTGAGCTTTTTAAAAATATACATACATGCCATGATCCTATAGACTTACTGAATCAGAATCTCAAGGATAGGGCTTAGGCCATATGTTTTGAAGAGCTCCCTGGGTGTTTCTGATGAACACCACTTACCTAATGGGTACTCATTCAGGTGGTGCATGAGATGCCTAAAACCAGATCTTTGGCCACAGGTCACATTTTGAAGCAGAGTGTGCCTTCCCCATACCTCTCTTACATCCTCATCCCCAAACACTCAGTTCTTAAACTCATTCATAGCTTTATCATCACCACCATCACAGAGTTTACAGAATGATGAATTTACATTTATGTAGCCATTTCAAAACAGTTTTTATAGGTTACACCTGATGAGCAGAATAGTAGTATAAAAATGTTTTGTATTCTAGAGGGGTACCTGGGTGGCTCAATTGGTTAAGCATCTGCCTTCAGCTCAGGTCGTGATCCCAGCGTCCTGGGATTGAGCCCCACGTTGGGCTCCCTTCTCGGTGTGGAGTGTGCTTCTCCGTCTGCCTCTGCCCCTACCCCTGCTCGTGTTCCCTCGCTCTCTCTTTTTCTCTCTCAAATAAAGAAATAAAATCTTTAAAAAAAAGTTTTGGGATGCCTGGGTGACTCAGTTGGTTAAGCCTCTGCCTTCATCTCAGGTCATGATCCTGGGGTCCTGGGATGGAGCCCTACATCGAGGTCCCTGCTCTGCAGGGAGTTTGCTTCTCCCTCTGCCTGCTGCTCCCCCTGCTTGTGTTCTTGATCTTTCTCTCTCTCTGTCAAGTAAATAAATAAAATCTTTAAAAAAAATTTTTTTTTGCATTCTAGAGATTTTAAATTTAAGTTCAGGGTCTAATTTTTTTAATAAATATTTCACCATGAAGTCTACCTGTATTTTTTTTTTTAAAGATTTATTTATTTGAGAGAGAGCACACATATGAGCTGGGGGGGGGGAGGGCAGAGGGAGAGAATCTTCAAGCAGACTCCCCACTGAGCGCAGAGCCCGAGGGGGACAGGTGCTCGATCTCACAACCTATGAGATCATGACCTGAGCTGAAACCAAGAGTCAGAGGCTTAACTGACTGAGCCACCCAGGCGCCCCTACCTATTTTTTAATAAAGTAATATATTTTCTTTTCTCACTTCCTTTGTACCTATGGAATTTTTTAAATGACCACATTATTTGTATTGATTGTGCATTTTCCTCTTGTCTTCATTTTCTGAAATAGATTTTAATGCAGAATAAAGACTGGAGTGGTTACATATATAAATTTACAGGTGACTAAACCTATATATATAACCTATATGTATGGTGTTTGTTGATTACTCATTTCAAGTTACCATTATACTGATAATTAGTTTATAGAAATTCCATAAACTGCCATCTAGTGCAGAATTATGGAGTATTTCTCTCTTTTTTAATGCTGGGAGAAAAGAAAATTGGAGATACAATAATTTTCCTGTGTTTTTTTTTTTTTAAAGATTTTATTTATTTATCTGAGAGAGAGAATGGGAGACAGAGAGCATGAGAGGGGGAGGATCAGAGGGAGAAGCAGACTCCCCGCCGAGCAGGGAGCCCGATGCGGGACTCGATCCCGGGACTCCAGGATCATGACCTGAGCCGAAGGCAGTCGCTTAACCAACTGAGCCACCCAGTCGCCCCATCCTGTGGTTTAAATACTGATACATTAAAAATAAATGACTTTTCTATTTCTCTTTAACCTTTGTGCATATTTCTCATTCATATTGAGAAATCTCTGAAGTAAAGATTAGCAAGAATCTGCTCTAGACAAGAATCAGGAATCTTATAAAGAACTGAATAATAAAAAGCTTCTGAATCACATGAGACTCCTTATTGTGGGAGAAAGCCAAAGACTTTCAGAGTTTCTATGTAAATATTACTTTGATAGGGATAGTGGTTGTCCATGTAAAGTTTACTCTTTCAGTGTCCTTCCTGGCTTTGGATTACCAGAATGACATCTTTAAGTATAATTCTTTTTTTTTTTTAAGATTTTATTTATTAATTTGACAGAAAGACACTCAGCGAGAGAGGGAACACAAGCAGGGGGAGTTGGAGAGGGAGAAGCAGGCTTCCCGCTGAGCAGGGAGCCCAATGTGGGGCTCGATCCGGGGACCCTGGAATCATGACCTGAGCCAAAGGCAGACACTTAACTACTGAGCCACCCAGGGTACCCCTTTAAGTGTAATTCTTCATGGTGGTAATAATTGTATCTACTATTTATATAGTGCTTACTGTTCTAAGTATTTTAACTTATTTAATCCTCCTGACAACTTTGAGAAGTAATTGCTATTACTATCTCCGTTTGACAGATGAGAAAACTGAGTCGTAAAGCAGTTTGGTAGCTCTCCCCAAGTCACTCAGTAAGTTGTTGAGCCAGGATTCCAACTCAACGGAAGTCTGACTGTGAGTCCATACTTAACCACAAAACAATACAAAAGACTTGTGCCAAAGAATACTATCTGGAACTTCTGAAAAGTCTATTTTTGTCATAGGTTTTTAATAAGAAATTCACCTGAGGGAAGTCTTAGT